CCAAAGACATAAAAGCACCGAAACCCCAATAAAAGAAGACAAACACCGCTTCAAATAATGCTAGCAATCGTCATGCGTGAATGCGCCGAGCTAGACCTGCGATCCGAATCCGAAGTCGCTAACTCAGGCGCAAGAGTCGACCCCGAAGTCGTAGGAACCTCTTGGCGGGACTGACCCCCCATAGGCGTATCTCGTTGAGCATAAGCCCTCTGCCGCTGCTGGGTGAAGAGCTCTTGCACAGTTTTCTCAATCCACTCCCATCCCTCCCACTCAGTCTCGCGCTCGTGCTGAGCTGGTTGGCCCCCTGAAACAGGCGTTGACCGCATTGATGACATCGCTTCGAGTTGAGATCCTGTTTCGCTGCCATGCCAGACCCAGCTTCCGTCGCTGGCTCCTTGCATATCGCCTGAGACATAGGCCATCATTTCCTCGTCGCGTTCTAGGTCGACGCCGTCGCTGCGGCGGAGTCGGGAGAGAAGACGGCGCAGGAAGAAGGAGAGGTAGCGGCCGCAGGCGGCGTTGACTGTGCGGACGTCGCCGATTGAGGCAAGGGCTTGCACGCAGGCTAGGGCGCCGGCAAATTCTTGTCGGAAGAGGAGGAGGAGGGTGCAGCGCCAGATGTGTGTGCAGAGGAGGGAGCCGGCGCCGGAGGCGAAGAGGGCGCGCGGGTCGTTGTTTCCTGCTGGGCCTGGGGGTAATGCGTTTGCGTTTGGGTAATTGCGCATGCAGCGGGCGAGGATGTTGGCTGTGTCGAGGGCTGTGGAGACACAGTAGTCCATTGCGGAAGAACGGACGATATCCGGGCAAAAGGGGGAGATGTTGTGGCGGTGGAGGAGGAGACGGGCGTTTTGTAGATATATTACTGGGGCGAGAGAGCGAGGGTCAAGGTCTTGGTCTGTTCTTGGGTGGAATTGGGAAGGGAACGTTGCAAGGCAGGTGTTGAAGTGAAGTTCGAAGGTCTCGAGAGTGGCGGGGCTGATGGTGGCTGACCGGAGGGTTCGTGTGAGTTGGCCGATTGAACGGACGACGTGGATGGTTGCTAGAAGGGGCGATGTTTGCTGGCCTTCGGGGATAGGGCCGCTTTCTGTGATATATTGTTCGTCCACGGGACAGGGCAGGTCAATGTCGCAGTCTTGGTCATTGATTAGAACTGGCTTGCCCATCTCGAGAGCGAGTAATCTGAAACAGCTATGAGCTAGGGTTCATCCAGGTACTTGGGCATAACAAACCTATCCCAAGCGTATAGTCCCCACCATACGCGCTTTCGCATCTCCCCTTCGACCGCTGGCCATGGCCCTGACTCAATGTGCAGGCCCATCTCTTGAGCCACGCGCACAGCTGAACCAATCCATACCCAACTTGCTGACTTCGAGTTCACCTCGTAGAGGAAGATACTGGCAAGCAGCGCAGCCCGAGCTCGATCCAGATTGAAGTTGTCGTGCCAAACGTCGATGATGCCGCACGAGGTGCGTATGTATTTCTTGCCTTGCTCCTCCCGATCCAGCTCGTTGGTGTGAATAGCACCGCAGGCGAATACTCCAAAGAGAACAGCAGCCCATTCATTCGAAACACCCAACAGCGACCCCGATCGATAGACCTTCTCATACTCCGCCATGAAGATGGGCCAATGGAGCACCGGAAGCACCGAATGAATGCAATTGAAGTACTGCGCCAACAAATGGTCCGCGAGAGTCTTTGGAGGTAGTTCTGGCGCATCACCAGTAACCAAAGACTCAGGACCCTGCTGTCGATAAGGCGTAGGAACCTTCAAGATACCACGACCATAATGTCGCAAATTAGATCGCACATCTGAGAAATCCTGGGCAATAGGTGCCTTCGACCGCCGCACAGGACGGTACTCAATCTCCGGCAACTTGATCAAAGGCTGCGCAATGCCCTCATCGACATCGACCATGCGATCAGGACGCATCATGCCAGTCTGCAGATGCTGCAATTGCTGCTTGGTATTCTGCAACTGCTTCTCCAAGTCCTGCACCTGCTTAATAGACGACATACGACGATTCGTTTCCTTAGTAAACTGACATCGCACCTTGCGATTGTTACATTCCGTGCAACTAGACGACTCCGACGCATCGCATTTGACCTTGCGTTCGCGACAAGCGTCGCAGCTGGGATCCTTCCTACGCTGTCGATATGCGCGCTTTTGTTGCAGCTGCGCGGGCGTTGGCTGCTGCCCAACTGGGCTGGTTTGGTACAGACCCGGACCGCCCGGTACTGATCCCAGCGGCGCGTCGGGGAGCGCACCGCTTTCTGCGGGCGACCCGGAAGCGGAGTCGTAGAAGCGCGAGTATGGCGATGTCGCAGGGGCTGGGAGGTGTTGTGGCATCGGTTGGAGTAGATGAGCCATTCGCATCCCGCTGTCGGGTCTGCTGGGCGGAGCGGAGAGCAGCGCCGGGACCGGAAATGCGCCGGTCACTGATTGTACGGGTGGAAGGTCATAAGAATTCGGGTTATTCCCCCGAAAATGGGAGGGCTGCATGGTGTTGGGATGAAAACCACATTCAAAGTTGGGGGGAGAAGAGAAAACGAGAAAGGATATCGCCACAGTGCCTAGGCTATTCCTAGAATGCAAAGTGTTACGGTAAGAAGGCCATAGTCGGGAACGAAGAAAAGAGGCAAAAACAAGAATGTAAAGGAGAAGAAGAACCAGATCGGCGGTAAAACCAAAGATCGTGGAGAATATTAATATTAATATTAATGTTAATGTTAGGAATTTAAGGAATCTTCAGCCGAAATGACAGCGGGACTAACTAACCAACTACACACTACACACACTGCACTCTATGCTCGAGCTCAGACTTCACTTTCCCGAGATCGGCAGTGGCAGTGTCGATGAATACTCAAAGCAGAGTGCTCAGTCATTTCTCCCTTGGCCCACCAGCGGGCTGGGATATGAACCTTGTCTTCTTCTCGATCCGGTGTGCTTTCTGGTCCACCAGTCCTAGTGGATGATCAGACTGGTTCGGCGTCTGAGCAGATCCCGGAGTCCGTCCCCTGAAGGGAAGAGTGAAGATCTTGTCTTGTCTATAATGGTATGTCTAAATGATCGACTCGGAAGGCATGCACCGGACCACATGGAAGCCCGGATGGCTGGCCCGGACAGTGGGACCTGGAGCCAATCTTCTCTTCAACAGAATGCCGAGCATCTCGCCTATCACAGCCGAAGTGCTAACGGGTTGCCCCGAGCTTTATCCGAACGTTTATGTTTCATCTGTACAGGTCCATGTATCGTGAAGTCCTGGAAATCACTTCTCTGGACCCCCGGCGCTCCCACCCTAACAGGGTTGGTGCCGAACACGGAGTAGAGCTCCCGTGCCATTCCGCCATGCCTTGATGCGCTGGCCGTGAAATGCCATGCAGGAAAACCCTGCACAGACACTCAGCCGCCCCTCCCCCTTCTCCATTATGGGCTAGTCCTCCGTCAATCCGTCCTATGAAGGCTCGGGACTCCTCCGGTCGGCTCACCAAGTGACATCTGGCGCCCTGATCGGCTCGTATCGAAGGAACAGGCTTGTTGAATTTCCCCGCACAGCCTCGGCCAGAGGCAGTTCGAGGAAAACAGGCTACATGTATGCCGCTAATCCGAATAATGCAAGAAGGGCTCGGGGCGACATTCCTTGGAAAACAGGGGGTGCATGCACGAGCTTAACCATAATGGAGACAGAACTCCCCTCGGTTCGTCCCGTCGGAAATATTCTCCATAATGCAGGGGTTTGGAAGCATTGACCTGCGATAAACGAGCCAATGATCGGGTGAGAAATATGTCCCATTCGGCCTAAAGGAGTCTTCATTTCCTGGCAAGGAGATTGCGGTGTAAATCTCAACCCCTTTTTCAATTTGATCTGCCTTCTGGGCCAAGCGGAGACTGTCTACGCGTCCAGAGTGATCATCAGGCGGTTCTCCGATGATCGTTTAAGGGACCTGTGGATATCGGACGCCTCCGACAGGGTTCTGACGTAGTTAACGTCCCATAGCATAGTTAAGTTATGCAAATACATGTACATGTTCATGCTTCGCGCGCGTAATTGCAGACCATTTATCTAAACACTCACATGTATTTCTTACATGTACAGATGTCTAAACCTCAGTTCGCCCCACAGCGGGACAACGATCTCGAAACTCAGCCGTTAACCGAGTCATTCCGATTTGCTCTCCCCTGCTGTCACCGTTAACCTGAGACTCCCGAGGCCTGCCGTCTGTTAGTTCCGCAAATGTCTCAGATTAATTAGGCTTGGACGCTTTGACGTAGAGATCTGAGATGCCCGGAGTGCCTGCCGAGTGGACGATGGGTCCCTGTCAAGGGCGCATTGTTCGAGTAGTAGTATTTTCATAATGCCTTTGTCTTGGAGGACCTGGTGGATATTGGAAATTTTTGTGTTTGTGTTGTGGATCGCGTAAATGTAACGCTACACTCCATACTACTAGTAGCATGTGAAACTCTACCTTTTTCGGTGCTGCCTACTGCTACGTACTGCTGCTTCTGGTACTACGACCCTAAGCATGCAAATTGATTGACCCAAGCTTACTTCTGTGTGTACTTTTCTCAGGTACCCGAGTAATATAATGGTGGGGCCCGTTCGTGTTTCTGAAACCCTAAACAATGGCATCGGCCACTAGCCATAAGGGCGCAATCCTTCCGGTGATCCAATTACGCACCTTAGATCCGATGAATGTACATTTCATCTAACCAATTGATAGAGAGGTATCTTTTGCAACTTCATCACATTATTCTCCACTCTTCAATTGTTGTCTGAATTGGTAGACCTTTGCTTTGGAGACGGAGACTTCCATATTGAACAGGACATATATAACTTAGAGATCGAACGAGATGAACGACGATGTTTAGTGAACTCTTGGATGATCCATATCGCTGCATTAGGCTCTCACGTAGCCCCTTATCGTCCTTGATAAGTTAGATTCTGGGACTGTATTATCGCCGCCTGAATGGGGAGGATGATGCTGTGCCTCTTTTATATGATCTTTAATGCTGGGCATAAGGCATTTATTAACAACAATGTGACGGCCATGTTTCACCAAGGACCTGAGTCACAAGGGCAGAGATCATAGGCTATAGAATATTGTTTGACACTGCGCTGACATGGAACTCCAAAAGTGGTATGCTTCATTAAAAAGTTTTCCGGGCGTGGCAGTTTAACCAGGTGAGAAAGACAATGCAAATTCCACAAGAGAGATCTCGTGATATTCCGAATCCATTTATTTCGCACTTCTAGCCTTCTCCTGTTTATGCTCTTCCCACTTCGCCATAATCACATTAACAATGCTGGTAAGTCCCTCCATCTCTTCCTGAACTTCCAAGCCCAAGGAATGCGGGTCAATGCTGCAACCAACGTAGACGGGCATGTAAAGCCGTCTAGCCAGGATTTTGGCTATGCGAGTTGTGTATTCGATACTGGGTGGTGATGTGTAGAGTGTAGTTGAGATTGTTGATTTGGGTGATGTGCGCTGTATTATGTTAGTGATATATTTAACAACAAATCAGAATATTTCCAAAGAGAGATGCTCAAGTCACAGGATGTGACGATGCTTGATACATATGAACATAGTGTGTGTTCGGGGTTCAAAGATGGGGCAGTGCTTGTTAGATTGCTGTTTCTCCAACGAAAAGGGATAATTCAACCACTTTGAAGAGATAAATGCCCCATCTGATAGGAGTGTAGCACGAGAAATCCTCTTTTTATACATGTTCAAGGAGAAAGACTGATGTTCAAGATACTCACATCAGGCATCGCGTAGACAAAGCTCCCCATCGGCTTGATAGAGCCACCCGAGTCACCGGGTGTAGATGTAGCCAGGAAAACTGTAACACAGTGGTTCATAAAGTTCAAGTGAACATGTGCTGTTGTGTGCAAAGCTCGGGGCAATGTGAACGAGAGCTCTTGAGGCTTGACGCTCGGGGTGGTAAGCTCCGCTTGAGGGATAGCTGGAGGCATGTCGGTGGCCATCGCTGCGCTTTCTCTGGAGGTTCAAGAAAAGACAACACAGCCTACCTAGGTAGGGTCTCAAGAGGAATGGCGGGTGTTGGTGATGTTGGAGTCCCCGCCCTCCAAATGTCGGCCAATCCCAGGTGTTTCTGCCTCAGGACGAAAACTTCCCACTTATTTTCTCCCCCTCCATATACTCTTTTGCTACTCCGTATTTCTCTGATTTATTGCTAGCGTTTTGATTCTTAAACTCTAGAATAGAGGGCACAACGCCTCTCGCGTGCAGATTTTAGCATGTCATCTGAGACACACCAAAACCCCCAGACTGGGGAAGAGGAATCCAGCTGGGGAGGTGATTTTGATCCTTTTTCTGATCCGGAAGAGCGCAGAGTGCTGTTTGCTGCTTTTGACTCATTCAGGTATGTCGACGATGGTTGATTTTGATGGAAATATTGTTGGTCTCAAGCTCCAGCGCTCAAGATGCTCCAAATACGCAGAATCTGAAGTCTATAGACAAGAACATCGGACTATAGCTGACCTATTGATAGACAATATCGGCGAAATGCCCACATGAACACCACACATCGCAGGCGGCAGGCCTTTTATGCCCTGCCATCGGCACACTGGCAGATGCTATCAGAGCCGCCATTCTCTATCCTTGACAACTTCAACAAGGTAGATGACGCTATCGATGTCAATGCTGAAATTGCAGATGCAATCCTTGCCATTGGATTACATTCATTTGATCTTCCTGTCAATCCCGACAAAAATAACCCAAAGGAAAATTGGCATGACACAGCCACTTCGTCAGACATCAACAAGGCGCATTCGACGATCCGCCAGTTCTATCGTGACTGGAGCCTGGAGGGGCGAACCGAGCGAGAAGTGTGCTATGACCCCGTCATCCAGGACCTTCACAATGAGTTCCAGACAAGGCGCGACAGCGGAGAGGAAATCCGCATTTTGGTTCCTGGCGCCGGTTTGGGGCGTTTAGTCTTCGAGGTCTGCATGGCTGGCTATGATGCCGAAGGAAATGAGATCTCCTATCATCAACTCCTGGCCAGCAACTGGGTTCTCAATCACACCGACGGAACGGCAAAGCATGCGCTTCATCCTTTCGCATTACATTTCTCCAATCTACAATCTCGAGCGCAGCAGCTTCAGCAGATCATGATACCCGACGTGCATCCCGCCTTGGCGATGCAGGAGATGGCCAACTCAGGCCGTCGCTTTGGAACAATGTCCATGTCTGCAGCCGACTTCACCGTATTATACACCCAGCCCAACAATCAGCAAGCTTTTGATGCAGTCACCACGGTATTCTTCATTGACACCGCGCCAAACCTTATCCGGTACATCGAGACGATCCGACACTGCCTCAAGCCCAACGGGCTGTGGATCAACGTTGGCCCGCTATTGTGGCACTTCGAAAATGGCCATTCCCGCAATGAAAGCGAGGCCGGGCACGAGGAATCTGGGATTGGTGAGCCTGGCAATGTAGAGTTATCCGAGGACGAAGTGTTGAGCCTCGTGGAGCGCATGGGCTTCCGCCTTGAGAGGCGGCCTGAGGATCGGCGGGCTTGCGGCTATATCCAGGATCCAGCGAGTTTGCTTCAGAACCTTTACCAGCCATCTCACTGGCTGGCCCGCAAAATTCCTGTCTAGGCTCTGTCTAGGGGAAATTGGGCGTCTGTAATTAGAAATGACAAGGCTGTGCGGCTTTGCCCCTGGTCTTAGTGTTTGGGGGCCAAAACGAACAAAGAATACATCTGAAGCGATTCCATGGTAAAGGCATCCCATAGTAGAAGGTAAATGGCATTTGAAGCCTACTGTGATATATGTAGTCCGTTGCCGAGTAAATTACTCGGTATAGGCAAATGTATACAAAGTACCCGGCGGGGACCTACAAACAAACGGTGAGAGAGTGTATACAATTGCAGAAAGAGAGAGACGGACAAAATTAAACGAATATACAAATGTCAAGTATAAGCGAAACTCGAATTCGGTCTTCATTCTGCCCCTTCAGACCCTTCGACCCTTCAAACCCTTCAAACCTCCCGTTCTTTCATCTCCCTTTGATCTCTCCACCTCGTATCCTCAGCCTCACTTTCCCTCTCTTTCACCTTTTCCCCTTCCCACCTTTCTCGCCTCACATGGACCTCATGAGTTCCCGGTTCAGGTTCAACTTCAGGAACAAGAAGAACCCTCCCCTCCGCCGATTGTCCCTGCGAGTACATCCCCCAGTTCTCCACCTTCCGGCCACAGCTCGTCAACAACAAGTCTCCCAATGAATCAGCCACCCGGGGGTTTGGGCCGACCGCCAAGTTACACCATGAACAATCGCCCAACCAGCCCGATGGTACAACACGGTCAACACCCCGCGCCCACAAACGCCCCATACACCCAACCTGGTGTGCCCATGAACACTGCCCAAGGCTACGGTATGCAGCAGCAACAGGTAGCCCCCAGCATCCCGACGACACTGTCGACTTCGCAGTACCCCGGGCGCAACCCCGCGGTGGAGGTCGAGGGCGCGGGTCGCAGCAAGGCACAACTCATCGTCGGCATTGATTTTGGAACAACATTCTCCGGTGTCGCATTCGCATTCGCGACCAACAATGAAGCACGGGAAGACATCATCACCGAGTGGCCGGGTGCCGGAACTCACACGAAACAAAAGGTAAGCATGGCACGAGACTCGCGAGCGCGCTTGATCTGACTCGCGGTTGCCTGGCTAGATTCCCACCGTCCTCTATTACGATCAATACCAGAAGGTCGTAGGCTGGGGCCCCGATATCGCCGACGCTCTCGCCCCGACTGGATACCCCAAGCCTGGTGTGCAAAAGGTGGAGTGGTTCAAGCTGCAGCTGATGCTATCCGGGAACACGTATATCGATCCCATCAACCTACCCCCACTGCCCCCGGGCAAGTCTGAAATCGATGTCGCGGCCGATTACCTTTTCAAGCTACGACAAGCCATGCGCTCGCAGTTACAGAAGACACTGGGTGAGGTGTTTACCCGTGAGGAACGCAACATCCGATACTACCTCACTGTGCCGGCTATTTGGAACGACGCTGGCAAGGCTGCGACACGTACTGCTGCTATTCAAGCTGGTTTCTTGCGCGACGAGAACGACAATCGACTTACGTTGGTTTCGGAGCCAGAGGCGGCGGCGCTGTTCTGTGCCAAATCTGGGTTGCTTAATTTGAAGGTGGGCGATGCCATCTTGATCGTGGATTGTGGTGGTGGCACCGTGGATTTGATTGCATACGAGGTCGAGGAAGAGTCGCCGTTCAGCGTGATGGAATGTACTGCCGGGTCTGGTGACTCGTGCGGTTCAACAGCACTGAACCGGAATTTCAGCAACATTTTGCGAGCGAAGATCCGTAAAATGAAGCTGCCCGATGGCTCTCGAACTGCGGGCAAGGTATACGCGAAGTGTATCATGGACTTTGAGAACCGCATCAAGGCCGATTTCCGTAACAACGGGCAAAAGTGGGCTGTAGATGTGGGTATTGAGGCTGACTTCCCTGATGCCGGCATCGAGGAGGGCTACATGACCTTCACCAATGAAGAGATTCTCCAATGCTTTGAACCGGTTGTGAACCGTATTCTCGAGTTGGTTCGCAACCAGATTATCGCCATTCAAGCGCAGAACCGTCTGCTCCAGGTAAGAATATCGTTTCTGTTTGACATACCGGCACTAACCCAGCTATGCAGAACGTTCTCGTTGTTGGTGGCTTTGGTGCTTCAGAATATCTCTTCCAGCAGATCAAACTTCACGTGCCACCACAGTATCAGACCAAGGTGGTTCGCCCCATGGACTCTGTGGCTGCTATCGTCAAGGGCGCTGTCACCGCAGGTATTACCGAGCGGGTCATCACCCACCGTGTGGCCCGTCGACACTATCTGATGGCCACGCTCCAGCCATTCAAGGAGGGCTACCACCCAGAACAATACCGTGTTCCCAGTCTGGATGGCCGTGACCGATGCAAGTACACCCGTCAGATTTTCGTCCAGAAAGGAGAGCGTGTCAGGATCGGCGAGCCCGTCAAGGTCAGCTTCTTCCGCCAAGTTGCTCCTGGCGCCACACTCATGTATGAGGATGTGCTGTACGCCTGCGACGAAGACGTCTGCCCCGAGTACACCAAGGATCCCCGTAAGTCAAGCTTTCTCTGTTATTGATCTCGCTCACTAAACCTTTTATAGGCATCAAGGAGGTTGTCACACTCACATCCGATCTATCGCGCAAGAACCTAGAGACCGATTTTGAACGCATGGACACACCGCAGGGCATCTTCTACCGTGTCTACTTTGACATCTACCTCACACTAGACGGCAGTGAATTCAGCGCCGAGCTGGTTTGCCAAAACGAGATCATGGGCCGGTGCCGTGCCAAGTTCCGGTGATCTCCATCGCAACGCAGCCAAATCAGAAAAATCAAACCTTACAAAGAAAAACATAAGGGTGACGCCGTATATAAATCTCCTCCCCGGACGAGGACCATGACATCATCGGTGAACAGTGGCTATGACTTGGAGTTCTTGACTTTCTTCTCTAATCTTTTGTACCGTCGTTGGGCAAGATATCCTCCCACTCCAGGTCAGGGTCACTGGACATCGCTACACGGAAGAATAGGCGTTTATCTGTGATGATTATTCGAGAATCCTGTGCCGTTCCTAAATATATGCCACAGTCGTTTGGCTATTTCTTGTCGTTTCTTATTGTTGTTTGGCGGTCCCTTTTCTTTCTTTCGATGGCCCTCTTAGATACCTCTACCTATTTTGTGTTTTGTTTCAATGATATTGACAAGCTGAGTTTAAGCTTATAATGCTTTCCTTAACATGATCACCAGTGGGTAAAGGGTAAAGCAAAGAAAGGAAATAAAGCACCCCTGAAAGGAAGAAAGGAAGTATACGTAAGTCATCAAATGAATGCCATCCGACTTTCATTGAGTTTAGCTAGGTAAGACATGAACTTGGCTTCGAAGCACATCACTTCAGTGACCATTATAGACAGAGAAATGAAAAGGGTTAGAGACAGGGATAGAGAAACCACACTCAAGTCTCCAGGTTAATGCTTCTTCCGAAGCGAGCATACAAGGCAACCTTGAGCTGCTGCAGCTCCTCACGCAATTCACCCAGCGTATCCTCTAGCTTGGACACGTCGGAGTCGATTTGCTCTGTGGATGCGGAGAGCATGCTCTGCGCATCGGGTAGAGGTAGTTGGAAGAAAGAGTCACCGATTTTGTAACTGGAGACACGTTAGAAAGATCCATTAATTCACACATTCCTTCGCTCCTTTAGACTTCTGTCCAATTGAAGACAGAAATGAAAACAACCAAAAAGGAGAAAAAGGAAAAGGAGAAGGATATCAACTCACGGGACAAGCTCGTCCTCATCAGCAAGTTCAAGCTCCATCGAAACCTCCTCTAGATCCTCTTTATCTTTCTATAAACCAATTAGCAATCCCGTATCCATCGTAGAATTCAACCATAGAGATATGGTATAAGATATGATACATACCTGCTTCCCCTTCAACTGCTCCTCAAGCAAAGTCTCCCGCTGATGCAACCGCGAAAAACGATTAATCTTCTCCTGATCTTCGCGGCGGACTTCATTCTCATCGCTGGCTGTCGCCTCATCGGCTTTTGAGAGCTGCGCGTGGGCGCGTTAGTCTGGCGTCCTTCATGTGGATTCGGCGGGGTGAGGGGAGCTTATGGAGGGGTCGCGCTTTACCATGCGGGGTTGCACCATCTTGGGTGTGTTGGGTGTTTTATTTCTGTGTTTGAGATGGGGAGTGGTGGCAGAGTGTACGCTGTGTACGCTGTGTGGCTGTTTTGTCGGTTGGGACTTTGATATCGGGTTTGAGTGGGTTGGTCCGTGCGCGTTTGGCGATGCGGACTCGGTTTATACTCTACAAAAGGTGTAGATTGTTGGAGATATTTGGAGATATTGACTGCTTTGGTTTTGTTGTTTCTGTTTTTGTTACTTCTGTCATTCTAGCTTGCGCTACATTTTACTGAATCACTACCCAGGTACGTATTAATGGTGCTGTATGACCAAGAATCCTGCTGCTAGCAGGCTACCAGGGGATGAAGTGGAACCACTGTCAATCTGTGGAAAGATAACGGCATTGGGAGTTGGATTGAGCAAGTTGATCTATATCTACATCTCTATCTATATCACTGCTGGCAGCTGTAACTACAACTTGGTCAAGTGACATCATCGCGGTATAGTACCTATAGGCACCCGCCTACCTACTTAAGAGGTAAATAGCTTCACTTTCAATATCTGAATCGAATATAACCCACTAAGAGAATCAAAACCTTACTTTCCCAGCTTCCTCTCTCAGATTTCGTCGGTATCATCTAGGCGCGTGTGCTGCCTGCAGCCGCACCGGAGAAACGAAACACCTCCGGAACACCGTCATCCTGAACTTGATACCCAAAGCACCCGTGGACCTTGACTATCCCAAACTCCCCAACTCCCCAACTCCCCAACTCTCCATTCCTCGTCATTTGTGCCTGTGCACCGGTCACATTCACCAACCCGGTGCACATCCTCGTGACCATCCCCACCCAAGCTCTCAAGCTTCTCCATCCCGCGCGGGAGCCTCAAATCACCTCCGTGGGCTCTTCCATCAATCCTCTTCGTACCCCTCACAACAAACACAATGCGAATACAATCAAGCGGAGTCTCACTCCTCCTCTCCGCTCTCGTCCCCGGCCTGGCCTCGGCGTCCGGCTTTGATTGCGAACACATCAAGGTCGACGGTTACAAATATGACCTCAGCCCCCTAAAAGGCGTCCACGAAGTGACACACAGCGTAACCACGGACGATTTTGTTACCAATACAACATACCGCCTCAACATTTGCAATATTCTGGGTTCAGCAGCCCACCAGGGCAAGGCGACGTGCGGCGCAAGCAGGAACAGTACGTATCGAGATGATCGCGACCGCGAGCGTGTTGGCATCATTACACTGCCACTGGGAATACCCACTGACTATGTTTCTACTCATTCTAGTCTGCGGCTTCGTACAACGGTCTCCAAAAGATGGAAACGGTGGCACCGAATTCGGCTTCCCGATCGTCGGACTCGACCACGGTGGTCACGGCTCTAAGGACCCCGAAGTGAAGCGATTGAAGCAAGATAACCCCGACTCTGAAGGTCTCCTCGTTAAGCTCGCCGGTGGTGAATACAAGGGCGATGACAACGAGCAAAAAGGCAAGGCTGCAGGTGCTGTCATTGAATTCCAGTGTGATCCCGATCGATCTGGACTGGAGGGGTTGCACACACTCCAAGATACACTGGAAGATACACCGGCGCAGGTTTTGCGACGTCTTACGGCTACCGCGGATGAAGGCGAGACGCCAAGGAACAGCAGCCTTCAGTTCAGGAGTTTTGGTCCTGCAGATGATGATACCTATATTCTGAGACTGGATTGGCGTACACGATATGCCTGTGACGACTACCAGAAGGAGAAGGGAGACACATCTGGCTCGAAGAGCTGGGGTTTCTTCACTTGGTTGATTATCATGTAGGTTTATGGAACTCTGTCTCCCTTCTACGCCGGAATTCTTTGCTGATTGCTCCACACAGTGCCTTCCTCTGCACTGCCACCTACCTTATCTTCGGCTCATGGCTAAACTACAACCGCTACGGCGCCCGCGGCTGGGACCTCCTCCCGCACGGCGACACCATCCGCGATGTCCCCTACATCTTCCAGGACTGGCTCCGCCGTGTGATCAATACCCTGCAGGGGGCAGGCTCGCGGGGCGGATACAGTGCAGTCTGATAGGGCTTCGACGGGACGATTGGATATGAGTTGGCTATTATACTCTTATGTACTTTTGACTCAAGACACAACATCTTCTTTTTGACCAAGTTGCTTAGCCGGGTTTGTCTTGGCTTCTTTTGCAGGTCAGGCTTGCAAATGATTTCTGATGCAATGTTTTTTAATGGCGCTAGATGAGGGTGGGTTTATATGTTGGTCATAACGAATGACATAGGATCTTTCTGAGTCATTGTCTCCTTTTGCGTGTATTTTCGTTGTTATTTCGGGATGTTGTGGAGAAATGAGATTTAAGTGCTCTGTTAACCACTTCTTTCACACGACCCCTTTGCTGGATGTCCCTGGGCTGCCCTGCGGGAACCCTGCTTGGTCCTTTTCCACTGCTATATCCAACCAATCCCTCAATCTGTCAGTCCGGGGACTCCTTGCCTTCCTTTCTTGATTTGTGGCATCTGGCTGTTTCAGCGGGTATCCTTCTGATGGGATCCAGAGGATACCACTTTAGAATACGGGGTTTCTCTTCGGAATTGCCCAAGGCAGCTAGCTGCTCTCACCTTGCGGGTCGATTTGTGTTGTTTCTTCGTCCAAACTAGCTATTATATATTCCAGAATTTCTGAATTCCTTTTACAAACCAAGGGAAGCTTCACCGTGTTGATGACACCCAGAGTTCTCAGTTGGACACGTCGGGACACGCAAAGATATATGCAATCCGGGCTGCTTGAGAGGATGCTAGAAGACGAGGATCTCTTGGACAACATGTTCGAGCCAGATCTTGATACATTTTCCTAGCATTATAGCATTATCTGGTGAAATGGTGCCAGTGCGTGTTGTCAAATCTGGCTACCTGGGTACCGCGGTAGTTAGTTCAAACTACAACTAAAATACAGAAGTAATGTGATCAGAGCTCCGGCGTTCGTTCTGGAGTATTGATAGTGGTACTGGGCAAAATTAAATCTGTCAGTGGCCAAGAAGCCGGTGCAGCAGCTTTATATATATTTACAGTGCGTCAAGTCCGAGAGATTTCAAACTAGAGATTCTGATACATATTTACTATTACCCGACCCTGAGCGGCCGACTAGAGTGACTGTCAATATACACCAATTCTGGTTATACAACACTCAATTCTAGCATGGGAGATGGTCACTTGCACTGCCCTGTCTGAGGTGTTGAAGGCTGTGATTCCAAATACGCTCTATATTTTATGGTAGCGGTATTCGTGGCTTGTCCGTCTCTTGTCTGTTTCTGGCCATTGTTGACAATAACACAGTTTTCAAATCATCATCCTTGCACTCTCCATGGGTGATATCAGAAGCCCTTCTTTTGTACGTCAGGTGCATTGTCCCTGACCCCTCACGCTTTGATATTTCAACTTCGTTTATCCCCCCTGAGTATTAAAGTCAACGTAATTCGGATTGCTGCCGAGCACTGTCACATCGGCAAGGGAACTTGGCATTCGAAGCACAAGTCTAGTCCATGCTAAGACCAACGGCGCGGAAAAATGAAAGGCACTCCACCCGTGATCCACATCTTGCACACTTCTAGTAGTTCCGCCCGAGCCTCGGGCTCGGACTTGGAAAAGATTTCAAAGACATGCAGGGCAAAATTGTTCTGCAGTCCATTGGATCGTTATTGCCAAGCCTTTGATTGCGTTGGCTTGATTGATTCTCTTGCGTGGACGAACGAAATGAAAGACAATAGCCCTGGTCAGTAGGAAATCTCCGAATGTTTGAACTACATCTCGAACCAATGTGCTTGGCAGAGAAGTCGGGATCCGAAGATGAGATCTGGGGAACGTTATCGAGTCAAGCACAGAGCCAATAGAGGTGATCCAATTACCTTCCTGCCACTCCCTACATCCTGGCATTCCGATATCGTCATTGCTACTATCTTTCAAAACCATATCATTTGCACCTTCCCGGCTGTCTACTTGACAAAGTCTACTAAATGAACACGCGGGAGAGATTTTTTCCGTCAATCTCAAACAACGACGATCCCTGCCTACTTCTTCAAGTCTTGCAACGCGGGTGCAACCGATACGTCCAATGGGCAGGAAGATTAATCTCGACCAATGCAAGCGCAGTGTCTGAATGGATAGAAATAAGACAGAACTTCCTCTTACTGGAGACTCGACTGCTAGCTCGCTTCATCAGATAAGATGAAGTCCTTGGCGCGGTGCGACGACTCTACCAAACTACGCTAGTAATGGGGACTTCATTACGCCAATGTGGGTTTGGCGTCGGAGGTAAGGACTGTGCTACAGCCTTGAAAGGAAATGATCGTTTATTGAAGGATTTTATTGTTTAAATGGTACAGTATAAGTATGAGAGTACCGTCTAGATAACGGCGGCTTCTGTCGCTGTGCTGCAGTCGTCTACTCAACTGTTAAGCACTCGCCATGCATTTCTCCACGTCCGCTACCTTATTAGGCTTGGCTCTGCCCACGGCATTGGCCCTTTGCCCTTATGCTGAACAGATGAAAGTTGACAAGCGGAATACGCCACCTCCTCATCCGCATACACCGCGCGATTTGCCCACCTCAGATAAGAAAGGCATCTTCTACATGAATCGTATTGCTCCCGGTACATCTGAGCTCTATGTTGCCAATGTGGATGGTTCCAATGAACGACCTTTACTATCTAATTCTATCTACGAATACCATGCTACCTTCTCCCCTGATGGGGAATGGATCACCTTCACCGGAGAGCGCAACGGCGATGGCAACTCAGATATCTACCGTGTCCGAACAAATGGCTCCGATCTCGAAGAGCTAGTAGCGACATCCTCTGTGGAAGACGGAGCCGTCATGTCTCCCAATGGCAAGCAAGTCGCCTATGTGTCCACTGCCAATGGTTATAAAGCCAACATCTGGGTCTTGGATTTGGAGAGCGGCAAGAAATGGAACCTGACCGATACTGCCTCAATTGCCGCCAATGCCACTCTACCAGACGGATATTTCCGTCCCTCATGGTCTCCTGACGGCCAATGGATTGCTTTTTCGTCGGATCGTAACTCGGGATGGTACGGCCATGGAGACCCAACCTTTCTGGGTGTGACAGGATGGGAGCATACACAGGAGCTCTCCATCTACGCTATTCGTCCTAATGGATCTGATTTCCGTTGCGTGGCCGCAAAGTCAGGCTACTCTCTGGGCTCCCCCAAGTGGTCTCCCAGCGGCAAGCGTATTCTCTTCTACGAGATGACCCGTGAAAACACCTGGAACTCTCACCGTCCCGAGTCCATTGACTCTGCAAACTCCACCCTGGTTTCCGTAGACTTTGCCACAGGCGCTGATCGTCGCGTTGAAGTCGAGGGATCTGGCGTGAAGATCTTCCCCCAATACCTATCTGAGAGCACGATTGCCTACTTTGCCAAAGGTGCCGGTAAGGAAGGTCTCCACACAACCAATGGTGGATTCGTGAATACCTCGAGCGTTACCATTCGTTCCCCTGCCTGGTCTGCCGATGGCAAGAAAGTGGTCTACGAGAAGACCACCTGGTCTGTCCGTCCCATGGACAAGAAGCTTTACAGCTGGGACACGGACTGGGAGTACCGCTTCACCGATGTTTTCCCTCAGCTGTCCAACACAAACATGATTGCCATGACCGAGAAGCAACTGGGCAATTCCTCCATCGTCTCTCTGAATGCCAACGGCACAGACGAACACCTAGTCTACAACGACATGGCCTCCGATTTCCTAGACTCATCCTCTATTGCCATGGGCACAGCAGGTGCCTTCAACCCTGCCTGGTCCCCCGATGGAAATTGGCTCGCCTTCGGCGTTGGCTTCTGGTTCCAAGGCCGAGCCACCGGTGGTGGCTGGCTGGTGCGTGCTACCGCCAACGGTACATACTCAGAGGTATTGCTGGATAGCCAGACAACCCTGGAGAGCAACAGCAGCGTTATAAACCACGGATTCCCCAGCTACTCGCACGACGGCAAGAAGATCGTTTACCGAGTTTGGGGAACAAACTCGACCCTGGGTGATAAGTCCCAGCTCGGTCTCCGCCTCCTCGATCTACAGACTCGAAAGGTCTCTGTCCTCACTACGGAGTGGGACAATCTACCCTTCTTCTCCCCAGATGGCGAGAGAATCGTTTTCACCCGCAAGACCAGCTCTTACAACTATGATATCTGCACGATGCGCTCTGATGGTTCGGACATCAAGGTGCTGACCAGTAGTGGTGCCAACGATGCCCACGCTGTTTGGACTTGGGATGGTCGCATTGCCTACTCTACTGGCATGTTCGGCTTCCAGTATGAGTGTGCGCTGTACGATCAGACTTTCCAGCCTTATGGTCAGGTTGTTGTTATGGATGCTGACGGGTCAAATAAGCGTGTGCTTACTGACTCTATTTGGGAGGATTCTATGCCGATGTTTGTGCCAAACGAGAAGCTTCATGGTATCCACAAGACGGCTAGACGGGATTATCGGGGTCGTTTCTGAGGTGGGAATGACGATACATGGTGGTCACAGCCAGTTAGAACAAGTTTTCATCTTGGTCAATGTAGGTTGGTTGTTTGTGTTTATAGTTTGTGGTGCTTCAAAAATGTGTTTACGACGATATTATTATTATATCGTTCTTGATATTTATGCAACCCACCTAGAGAGCTCCGCATTCCCTAGACTTGGCAGTGGGAAGCATGTATAAAGCGTGCAGTCCAAATCAGATGTATCATCGGTTGTAAGAATTTAATTAAAGTTGCATTACTGATGAATATGAACTAGAATACCCTCGACAGACCAATGATTAGGTCATACGTACAAATGGAGAGCAAAGAGCACTACAGAGTAGAATTGAAGACAGAGCGAGAGTAAACTAGAAAATGGACGCCCAACTAGGAGACCCTTCCCCATAGACCCTGAACATGTCCCCCAGAAACCCCGGGATTCCCGCTAAACTTGGCCCGCTTTTCCCTTAGCCCCTCGCTAATCGCACGCCACTGATGCTACTCTTCATGCAGGAGCAAAACAGGCTAAAAGCCATCCACTCCATCTACACCAGGTGCTTCTCTCGTCAGAAGGCACGGTACTCGTTATCAGAATCAGGAGTTCCGCTGTTGTGGGGTACTCAGATGCGTTTCAGCAAAACAAATGGCGTGTCACATGTATATTACTCATCAGACATGACACACCTGGACACGAACTATGTCTCAGAGTGTGTTGACCTGAAAAAAAGGAGAAGTGATCTACACAGCACTAGCCTATTTGAAAGGCGCGATATATGACCAAAGGGGCAAACTCCCGACGGGTTGAACAGCTCTTTCCAGCGATACTCGGTAAAATGGATTTGCATGGCTGAAACGTAGGTAGAATAGCTCATGAATTCTCCCGGTTAAGCCACTTGGAGTTTATCCATTAAGGCAAGAAGCAATCTATCTGTCTTGTTCGGGGTATTCTTGCCAAAGCCAAGCCTTATGTAGGACATATAAAGCCGTCTGGCCTTCGTTTCGAATTATTGCCTCACACCTCTCTAGCTTTGAACACTTCGCTTTTCAGAAAACACACCGCAATGAGACCCCCAATGACTAAAGCTTACTTGCTGTCGTCTGGCATTGTCCTGCTGGCATCGGTGCTAGGTGTTTCGGCGGACTGCGACCTTCCCTCTACCTACCGGTGGACATCAACTGGTGCGCTAGCCGAGCCTAAGTCAGGATGGTCGGCTCTCAAAGACTTTACCAATGTGGTCTACAACGGCAAGCATCTGGTGTATGCATCGGCACCTGATACATCAGGGAGCTACCACTCAATGAACTTTGGCCTATTTTCGGACTGGTCTGATATGGCCTCGGCGAGCCAGAACGTCATGAATGTCGGCACTGTTGCCCCCACGCTCTTCTACTTCCAACCGAAGAACGTTTGGATTTTGGCCTATCAATGGGGCTCTACCGCGTTCTCCTACCGAACTTCAAGTGATCCTTCGAACGCCAATGGATGGTCTTCAGAGCAGCCGCTTTTCTCGGGAAGCATCTCCGGCTCTAGTACTGGCGTTATCGACCAAGCAGTCATTGGCGATGCTAAAAATATGTACCTATTTTTTGCGGGAGACAATGGCAAGATCTACCGCACTAGCATGCCCATTGATCGTTTCCCGGGCAACTTCGGAACGGTGTCAGAAGTGATCATGAGTGACACGACCGCAAATCTGTTTGAAGCAGTTCAGGTGTATACCATCCAAGGCCAGAACAAATACTTGATGATCGTCGAGGCGATGGGGGCAAATGGACGGTTTTTCCGCTCCTTCACTGCCAACAGTCTTGACGGTTCGTGGACAGCGCAAGCGGCAACTGAGGACCGGCCATTTGCTGGAAAGGCCAACAGCGGCGCTACATGGACCAACGACATCAGCCACGGAGATCTTGTTCGCCACAACCCTGATCAGACGATGACCGTTGACCCGTGTAACCTTCAGCTTCTCTACCAGGGAAGAGACCCTAACGCTAACAGCAACTACAACACTCTACCTTACAGACCGGGTGTCCTGACACTGCAGCGATAAAGGAAACATTCCAAACATTCCATTTGCTCCATATTCATATACTTTGGCGAGTAGATATGATCCAACCCAATTGAGTATTCGGACAGTGATGAGCCTACAAATCCTATGTATTTAAATGTTTGGAATGGGAACCGGGATTAACGACTGGAAGACTTTGCAGCAGAATGTAATTCCAGTAAAGGTCATAGGGAAAGAAAAATTTAAGGTTCTATCTAGCACATATGTAGTCTCTAGTTCTGTAATTGAATGTCCAGGGCAGAGTTGAGTTTAATTATGTGAGCTACCGGTTGCTTTACTCACATTGAGGATTCAGCGCCAGCTAGGTGCATCAAATTAACGTACAAACATTTGCAATTAGAGCATCAGGGAAAAAAATAATCTTTTTCACGGTAATACAATAGAGTATTCTGTAATGAGCGGATGGCTGTTGGCTTCATCAACGTTGGTGCTGGACCCGAGTCAAAGGCCCGGAACTACGCTCAAGCTAGCCTGATGCTCACATAGCTACGAATATACTATATGACTGTCGATCCTATCTGATACGCCATTATTCCGGAGATTTGTCCACCCTTTTCCACAACAAAGGCGTTTGTTTGATTCGTATCGCCTATTATATTACTCGGATTGTGTCCAACAGTGTCAAACCCCTCATGTTGAATTCAACTGCGGGGAACTAGCGTTGGAACACTGCTTTCCTTCCGGGTGTCTTTTCCTTCCTCTTCTTTGTCTGGGCTTTTTCTTCCGTCTTCCTGAAACGAAGGACAAACATATGAAGAGTTCGGCATTTTGTTCGCTCGCCGAGTGAAATTTGGCAAACATAGGGTTAATGCTTTCGCTGAGGTTGAACCGGTCCTCCAGAAAAACGATGAGAAGTAGCGACCTCTATATAAATTTCTATCATTTTCAGAGGAGAAAATGAAGGTTTCGAAGTGGAGCTCTTCCATCGATCGGGCCCAGAAGCTACCAAGATGTATTTAAAGTTTAATTTGTCAACAATTGTCCAAGCAGCGTAGCCGCGCCCCATTAGTCCATGTAAATAATCATGATACTTTGTAGTTGACGTAGGAGAGACGATTGGCCCTGTTATATTTCCAATGAACTTGGTGGCTCTCATAAGCGACCGATCGCACAGCCCAATCGGATAGTTGTCGCCATCATATCCTTTTATTCTCAACAGCATGATTTTTTTTGTTGGTTTAAGAACCTTTCAAACGAGCATTTAGTTTCAGGAAAGCTAGAATTTCACGAAATGGCACGCCTAACCACGCCCGGGTGGGAGTATTAATTGACCCGGACTTACAGCCTAAGAGCCTCCAAACCTGAAGAGTGAGGGGTACGCGCCTCAGCTGCAGAACTTCTGCATCCAGCCTCCTCAGCTTTTGAAACTACTCCCTCACTCGTTTTATTCAGTCGAACCTGGGTCTATCTACACTCGTTAATCATTTTTTATGTTGCATTTTGATTACGGTTGAACATATCTGCGGCCCAAAGCTATCCCAGTTCCCTGACGAATCGGTTGGAGACGGCTCGCCCATATGCCAGTCTCATCCTTGAAACTTAATCAATCTGCTGTCTCAGCACCATGGCGGGTTTTAACGGTTTTTTTTGCGGCACTGCTGCTTCTCGGGTCAGTTGTATTATCTCGATAATTGAGTTTTCTCAACAGCATAAGGTCGCTGACTATTATTTTGGGCGTTAGTTATATGATCTTGGCCGTGGCAATCAATAACACCCAAGACACATTGCGAATCGACATCACTGGATCTATAACTTGCGCATTCGTTTTTGTTGGAGTATCCTATATCTCATCAGCCCTGGTCGTTTTCTGTCAGCGACATCAGAAGCTTTTCCTAATTCACTACGTCTTTTGGTACGTTTTGTGGTCGCACGAAGCTGATGACGCAGCTAATGATCTCAGTCCCTACTCGATAATAAACCTGCTCGCACTTTTTAATGCCCTGTTCCATGTCCTTGCGCGCGACTTACCCCTGAACACCCTACGTGTCATGAGCATTGGGCTGCCCGCTGCGTTTTTTGCAATATATCCTCTCGCAGCGCTGTTCGTCTACCATGACAACAGCTCTAGCCGTCCCCACCGAGAGGATGGTACTCCCTTGCTTAGTGACGAAGAAATGCAGCGAAGACAGATGCTTCGCTTGCTTCAAGATCAGTCAAGTGCGCCGTCGCCAGATCTTATTCGAAACACCTATCGATTTGATTTACCTCAGTACGACGCGGCTCCGAGATATTAGAGCGATGCGTGGTCCACGGTCCGTAGAGGGGAAACTGCACGGTCGCACCAAGGATAGAAACATATGGAATTTGTTCATATAAAATATTAGTAGTAACATGATACTGAAAGCCAACACATGTTTTCCGTAGAGGCATGTGTCGGGAAGTACATAGTCTCAGTACCCGTGCCGGCAAGCAACTTAATCAGCACGCGTTGGACCTCGGCTCTTTCCGCATTTAAAAGTCCAGGAACCCGCCGCCGTCCGCGACGTCGACCTCATTAATTTTCTAGACGATCTGTACTACTTTAACAACATGGCTAAACGCGTGACCATCTTTGATCCTCCAGAGCAGGATCATTCCAAGGCGCTCATTGAGAATGTACTCGATCTGACGCCTGTGGCGGACCTCGGCCCAGTATGCATACCATCGCACAACTCGAGCATCTGTCCCAGTCTAACAAATCGCCTTTCTGTATAGGATGTCTTCACAAATACTCGCCCCCTATGGCATCCCCCCGGAGCTCGCGGCATCTACGGTGGTGCAGCGATCGCGCAGTCCCTATCAGCAGCGATGCGAACAGTCCCCACCGACTACGCCGTCCATAGCATGCACTGCTACTTTGTCCTTGCTGGTGACTCCGAGATTCCGATCTTATATCATGTCGAGCGGGTCCGCGATGGAAGAAGCTTTATAACAAGGACCGTGCAGGCGCGACAACGGGGTCGGCCTATCTTCACTACAACGCTGAGTTTTAGTCGCGTAGGCAGTGGTGGCCAGAAGACGCTCAACCATGCTACCCCGAAGCCGGATGTGGGATTACCGACTGATGCTGAACCGGGAAGTATCAGGGCTCTGAGTGATGCTGGCGGAGGTCCATTTGAATCGAGGAAGGCGGGCATTGTGAACCGTAAGTATCGGACCGGAGCGTCCACGCTATGCAATTCATAATGACAAAACTCATAAAATAGGCGACTCTCCCAACCCAGAAGACAAGAAAATTCGACGGTATATCCGCGCTCGTGGTCACATCTCCGATGAAGGCGCCTATCAAGCACACCTGTCCGCTCTCGCCTACATCACCGATAGCTACTTCATCGGAACTGTCTCCCGCGTCCACGATATCCCCCGATTCTCATCGCGTGCTGAATTGGAGGGTCTTTTGAAAGCTCTCAAGAACCCATCAGACCTCGACGACGAGGATATCACCCGAGCCCTGAAGGAGCTGAAGGAAGAGGAGGCCGCGGAATTGCGCCGCCGGATAGAAGGTGCCCTTGTCAAAGCCACCAACGTCAAATCCGAGAAAGATCATAATGAAGTTGGCATGATGGTCAGCCTGGATCACTCGATTTATTTCCACAACCCCATGGCATTCCGGGCTGATGAGTGGATGCTGTCTGAAACAGAAAGCACCTGGGCCGGAGAGGGACGAGGATTAGCACTCCAGAAGATTTGGTCCAAGGATGGACTACTTATTGCTACTTGCACACAAGAGGTATGTGCATTGATCATGCCTTCCTATTGAGTTATTGGCTCATGCTGACATTGATAATAGGGTGTCGTGCGTTTAAAGCAAGATAAGCCCCCAAAGTCAAAGATCTAAGCACCTTGGCTATACCCCTACTGACCGACTTACTTCTTCCTCTTGGATCATCATTGTTTTCCTTCGATTCTCCTGACACAACATAGATTTGGGTTCACTACCCACTACTTTTGACTTCATGTGATTCTATTATTGTACCCAAAGTTTGCCTAAGCTTGCTTCGAGCTCTACTGCACAAGTGTTCTTTTTAATATAATATATAGAAATAACCATATATTTGTCTCCTGATATCTTTTTGTACCTTCGAAAACAATATTGATGCCTGCACAATCAGATCAATTTTTCATCCTGGATTTGACTTTTGAATCTGAAATTGACGGGAACAAACAGCGCAAGACTTGAACCAACAAAAAACAACTTTTACGTTGTTGACAAAAAGCCGCCGATCCATTTTTGATCTTCCAGAGCCAGTATGCGAAACGGACACAGCAAATAACGAATAGTGTTACAAGTTCAACTCAATCTTCATACTTCTCGGGCTCAATCTTGCCCTCCTCCACCTGCCTCTGATAGAATTCCAAAACCTTAGCCCCCCACACATGTTTCCCCTTATACTCCCCAACATAGTCAGGCCAACTCCTCATTTCCTTGGCAAGATTATTCAGCTCTTGCATGGGGAGCTCCTCCAGAGGCGTGAGATACGTCTTCACGCCAAAGACGATAGCTCCCGTTCGTGGCAGTCGACGGAATGTTTGTCTTTCACGGCGAACGAGGATTTCCGAGGGGAGGGGGTTGACTAGCTCCTTTTCGCAGAGTGCCTTTGGTCGGTACAGAATCTCTGTTAGGTTCTCATCGGGTCGTTTTACTTCGATGAAGTAGTTTGAGCGCTCCATTGGCGAGGTTGGAGTTAGACGGGCGAGGAATCTGGGAGCTTGGTTAGTATCCTTTGCCTCTGGTGGCCATTCTCCAGGGCTTGTATGATTACTTACTTGTCCACGGAGTTGGCAACGTGCTGGTGCCATAGAGGTACTGGGCCATGCAGTTGAGAGATGGTCCAGCCGATTCTCTGTTGCACTGTCCATCCTGTAGGGAACAAACTGGCACTCGCTGCTCTGGAATGGTGTCAGTGTTAAGCATTGGCATTGGCATCGACACTGGTTCTGACTTACAGATAATATTCGCCCTCCTCGTTCATCATCAAAACGCTGAGGTCCTCCATTGTGAGACGCACGGCAGCCTCGAGGGCGTCGGCTACGCCCTCATTGGGGTCGCGTCCACTGACTGTGAATTTGTCGCCGGTCATGCAATTATTGACGATCTTTTGGTTGTTTTTGATGTTCATATCAAAATTGTTGGGGAATCTTTCGCAGAGGAAGTCTGATACCTCCTCCAGTGCCTCCTGGCACGCATCGACAGACTCTGGGAGGCACCGTAAAACCTCGGATCTTTTCTCGTGCAACAACTGGTTGCGTACACGGTGCTCATCCATATAGTTTTTGTCGAGAGTGAGCCAGTTTTGTGCGTCGAGTTTGCGGATATCCATCATGACACGGTACCGCTCTCTCCCTTTGATGGGCTGCGCTGGGTAAGGTGCCATGGACTTGACATCTGATGAAGTGGAGGCATGATTTAAACAATACTTTTCCGACTTTGGTGACAGCCACTGAAACAGCTGTTTGTGATGTTTTACGGCGAATAGAAAGACGAATATCGGAATCGCCACGAACGAAAAGGCTGTCATACTTTTCCCATTCAATGTGCTCACGTTCTAAGGCGTTGGAACTTGTCTTCTTTTGGAAAATGAAGTCGACTAATTAACAACGCTGAATTTCAAAGGAAGGAAAAAGAAAAGAAAAAAAGGATGATCATGGAGTAAGTCATCCGGAGCAGGTGGACATAAATATGACCTCGGAGACATGAACAATGACCTAATCCGGGACTAGGCAGCAAACTTGAAAGATCACCAGACAATCAAGTCAGCTCTAGTTCTCGGGGGGAAAATGGATAGCTCTGGCAGCTGCATTCCACATTCCTGATTCAGCGGAAACTGTGCCTGCGGAACTGTTGTGATACGCTCAAGGATTCCCCGCAAAAAAAAAATAGCCCAATTTCGCCGGGGAGTACTGACAGCCACATGATCTCAGGGTTTTTTTTTTCTAATTATTGTTTTGTGTTCAGTTCGAGGTATGCAGGCTGTGCACCAGATCAGCTCGAGTGGAGGGCAAACTCTCAAAATCCCCAAGTTTTAACTGGCTCCCGGCTGGATATGAGAAGGCACCCCCACACAGTTAGATCTTTCACTAATCCCAGAATAGCAATCTAGGCACAAAATCCCCCAGCCTTGAATCGTCAAGCTCACGTACACTGTCAGTGCGCGGCGCCCCCGTGAACTGCTAGCCCTGCCGAACAACAATGCCAACATGTTAAAGGCAAAATTAGGCCCCGGATACCCTCGGAGGAAGTAATTCCCAGCACATGATTCGTACCGCGCGACGCGCTTGCCAATGTATGTACCCAAAGGCTGAAGGGAGCGAATGTTTGATCTGAGTCACGCAGGTCCAGCTCCTGTTGATCGCCCGCAGCACCCGCGCCTTCGGGGATACTTGAGCTGACTGGCTCGGGGCCTGATCTAGCTCAGGTGCACATCACACCGTCACCAAACTAAATCGATGGGCACATGGAATGGGCTGACGTATCACAGCCCTGGAGGTGGGGGGCTCTAAGGGGCTGTTCTCCAACGGCCCAGTGCCCTTCACTTCCGCGGCCCCGATCTAAAGATACCGGAATGAATCTTATTACTTCTGTTTGACCTGTTTGAGATGCAATTGCGTTCGGCTAACACATTTAATACGTCTACATTCTATACTAAGTCCCGGTCGGACACCACGAAAACTTGGAAACAGGAAATAGCCCAAAATTGTAAATCACCATTGACTGGAATAGAATTGCCACTATTTGTCCCACCCTGGGATCACCAGGCCCAGAACACGCCATACACTCCACAGCTCTGGGGCTCCCGCTGCAACCGCTTATCCCCCTTTCGCGCAAAGCGCGATTGCCGCTATGTCTTACATGTCTTTTTTCGGTGCATTCCCTATCGATTTTCTGTTGTTTTGGATTGAAAGGCTATGATGATTATTATTATGATTAGTCTATTTTCTATTTTGCCCTTTTTCGCCTCCTCGTCATAGCCACGCTAATGCCCGTCACATATTGAAACACAGACCACCATATCTAGGGTCAATTGAATCGATCTGCAATGTATAAAAGATATTTGCCACCGCTACTTGGAATTGACACGATTTGTTTGCGCATTTTATTCAGGACCAGAAAAGGCAGAAAAGGCATCCAAATACATAATCCTTTCGTAGTTCCTACTCGACGCGTTTCTGAATCCAAAACACCCACCCCACCCAATCAATGCCTCTGCATTACCGTGTCCAAGTCTTCCTTTCTGGGCAGGGTCTGGACCTCTACCCGATCCTAGCCTCGACTCCTATCCCTGATCCTAGCCCTGGCCCTGGCACTGACGATTAGAGTGGAGATCAATGCAAGTCAACCCTGTCAACGGGTGTTAATCGCCCCCATCAAGTCCGTAAATTCTAACGATTTCCAATTCTTTCAACTGCGCACAGACGGTGAGATCAGCTGCCTCGACGCAATCCCTCTCACTGAATGACGGCAATTGCATCCGTCGGAAAGGCAGTTTGGACCGAGAGGGAGGCCGTCCGCGTTCCTTGATTGGCTGAGGTTGCCTGCCGTTCGGCGCTGGGTATACTGTATTTGTTTTTTTTTTCGTAAGGCTAGCGTTCCTTACATTAGTATCGCCTGGGGCGTCTTTTAGGGATAAAAGGGTAAAGCCACAAATCTGCATCAGATCATTCGTGAAATAAGCCACGTAGGGGTATCTGTCAGCTATTCCTAGAATGTTCACGGGTGGTGGCACAAGTACGGCAGTCTGACAAGGCCATCACTCAAAACTAATTCTGCCACCGCTATACATACCAATACAGTCGACTTGCTTGGTTTCATCATTAAGGCTACTGATACTGAGCACCACGTAAAGGTGTAAGTTATTGTTTAGGGCGCTGTATATAGGTATCCCGTACGGCTAGGGCGGTCTAAAAATGGTCTAGAAAACTGTCTCGAAAACGGTCTGTCCAATGGTGTTGAAACATTTGCTAATATGTCACTATAGAAGAATAGCTTTCGTACGAATCTGTAATTATCTAAAGCGGTAATAGGGGCAGCAAGGGAGGAGGTAAGAGGTTTGTATGGGGAAAATTAGTCTTGAGCTGATGGCCTTGTTAGGCTGCCGTACGCAAGAGTATTGCCTTTCTATCAGCCACGTTCTTGGTAGTCACGTTGTGTCTGATGTATCTGTCAAATTGGATCTAGCTGATTCGTCGGATCATAAGCCATGTCGAATGTGGAAACTTGTCTTGCTCACTTGTTTGCCTCGACGGAGTATGACGTTGTTCGACAGTTGATGGCTCGAAATTCCTGGATCTGGTTTGTTTTGGCCCCTGTATGTGAGGTACTTGTTTCGCATGTCATAGCGACATGGACCTGGAAGAAAATGACAAGAATGAAAGTCGTACTAAATCTCAGAATGTACATTTAATTCTCTAACTTGAACAAGTGGCCTTCAGCTGGATATTACCAAGCGCCATGACGTAAATTTGTGCCCCTTGCAATGTCATCCGGCTTTACAAATTGAATTCTTCCCCAAGGAGACGTTCGCCTAGATGCCACAGCCTATCGGCAGTCTCTGCTCCGCAAGCATGATTCGCTGGATTCTTCAGTTGACAATCACTGAGATATGAGCCCGACAGTTCTAAGATGACAACTTTGTTAGTAGCTCGAACCAGGTTAGACTCCAGATATATAATGACCTTCAAGGGCTGGATCCAGAGCAGCGACCAAAGTAGTGGCGCATCCTTGTTGAAGCGTCTTCCTCTCTGCGACTTCAAAATCCGGAACTTGAAGAGTCAGCTAGCTCTGATGGCACATAACGGCAGGATAACAATATCAACGCACTTGATTGTGACTTTGCTCTAGCATCTGACATTGACTCGGAATCGACATGACGCTGTAGACCTGATGCAATACCTAATTCTGTTAAATCCGCACCTGCAGAATCCTTGCTATGACTTACTTCCGGGATGAATCGCAAAAGAAGCGACTTCACTACTTGGGATACTTCTTGCGAGGTGGACGGCCATCAGGATTAATGCTGTTTTTGACTGGCCATATGCTTTCCATGTATCATAGGCAGTACCACCCTAGTGGACAGAGGTCCGCCGTTAGAAAAGATGCACTTAAAAAGTCTCATGGTAGTTGCTCACCTCAAAATTTAGATCTTCGAATCGAATACCCTCAAACCGATGTGCGGAGCTGCTCACGTTGACAATACGTGCGCCTGGTCCCGCAGCGCGGAGCTTAGGGAGAAGCAGCCCAGTAAAGAGGAAGGGACCGAGGAAATTTGTTCCAAATTGTACCTCAAATCCGTCTTTGGTGGTGTTATACGGACAAGCCATGATGGCGGCATTATTGATGAGAACATCAATGCGATCGAATTGACCGTTTATTTCTGCAGCGGCTTCCCTTATTGAGTTTCGATTACTTAGATCCAAGGAGACGAAAGTTACTGTGATGTTTGGGTTGATCTCGGTGATCCTTTCGATGACTGGTTGAATTTTGGTACGATCCCGACCTGCAAGAATGATAGCTGATGGAGATCTGGATGCTAGACAGAGGGCAGTTTCTGCACCAATTCCTCCGTTACTTGGGCCGGTGATTAGAACTGGATCTGAGATTAGTTGATGTCGTTGGGCGAAAGTGATTCCTCTTACATGTCCGTCCTTCGATCCTCTCTGCAAATTCGTGCACGACTTCATTACCCGTAGATGACCACGACCAGGTAGACATTCTGGTAGAGTGTTCATGTATGAACCTTATTCTTGTATATTTTGTAACTGGGCCACAAGTGGTTTATATAGGTAGCGCTTACTGGGCAACCAAAAGTCTAAGCCTCCGGATATCGCTTTTAAAGCTCCGTCATCTCCTTAACTCCGTCACTGTGCATGAAGGCGTTTCCTTCCCCAATACTTTGATTTTGCTTGCAATTTTTTTTTCGCGCGAGGTCAATACTCAGATAAAATAACACAGATTAATTATTCCTCAGTGTCCCGTCCAATTCATGATTGGCGCACGTCAGGGATTCGGGCCCCGCCATGTCACTCCCAGGGCGCACTGACTAATGACCCGAGTTTCGATTCTTGAGGTTGACTTCATTTTCAAATTTGAATCTCGAATATAATCTTATACCTAATGTCCTGTTAGCTACCTGGAACTAAGGATCAGAGCTAGCCACCACATCCCTCATTTTCAACACCGGACTGATGAAATGTCTCAAACAAAAGTGCACACCGAAGCTCGAACAGTGGGCGTGGAACTCGATGAATTAAACCAACCTTCCATGCTAGATACACAACTCCGCGAGTCCCTAGAAGCATATTTAGTGCGTCATTCGCCGGACGAAGAGCCGTCTACCGAGCACGTTTATGATGACCGACCCAGAGATCTTTCTCGGAGCAATGCGGTGATCTTAATTACTACCCTCTCCGGCATTACTTTTGTCGGGAGCATGAGTGGTGGACTATTGACCGTTGGACTGCCCACCATCGCTGCCGACTTAGACTTACCGGATAACCTATTGCTTTGGTGAGTGACATTATCATATTGTTGTTCATATGAAACCCAATTTTCCACTTAGTCTAACCAACATTCGACTTGCTTTAGGCCAGCCTCAGTCTACTCGTGGGTTTCCGCTCCCAATTTCCACTGAGAAATATCTAACCAATTTCAGTCTTGCAAATGGATGCTGCCTCCTGCTCGCAGGCTCCATAGCGGACTTAATAGGCAACCGAATGATAAACATAATCGGCTGTTTCCTTCTAGGGTCATTTATTCTTGCATGTGGTGTAGCCCAGACTGGCATCCAAATGATTCTCTTCCGCACACTCCAAGGCATCGCAACATCTATGTGCCTTCCGACGGCTTTTAGCATCTTGACAGATTCCATGCCGACTGGAAAACGTCGAAATATCGGATTTGCTTGTCTTGGACTCGGACAGCCCCTGGGATTTTCAGGTGGACTTGTGCTTGGTGGCCTTTTCCAGGCTACGTCTCTAGGCTGGAGATTTGGTTACTATCTCTGTGCAGGGGCTGCCTTGATCCTTGCGATTTTGAACTTTTTCAAGTTGCCAAAGGATGCAGAGCGAGGACCTATCTCTTGGCACAGATTTCGTTCTGAGATCGACTGGATTGGAATTTTCTTGTCGAGCGCTTGCTTAGGCATAATTTCCTATGTGTTTGCGTAAGTTTACCTTTTATTGTTATTGGTCCGATCAGGTTGATTCAATTAACTCGGTTTACAGCACCATCACGGATAGCCCGTCCAACATTAGCACACCTGAAAATATCGTCTTGCTCTGTGCTGCTGGTATTATGATCCCTGTATTTTGGGCCTGGATGAATTGGCGAGAGAAAAACGGCAAGCCCGCCCTGATCCCAAACTCTCTGTGGAAAAACACAGCCTTTGCTTCCGTCTGTATTATGGTTCTGCTGTCCTGGGCAGTCTTGAACGGAATGGAAACTATTCTCAGTCTTTTGTAAGTTCTGATCAACGTCGCCTGGGAATTATACTTCTAACCGCTGAATTACGGAGTACAGCTTCCAAGAGGTGCAGAACCTATCTGCCTTCCAGGCTGCACTTCGGTTCTTACCAAACATAGTCATTGGCATCATCCTCAACGTGGGTACCGGACTTCTCGTTCATCGCTTGCATGCAAATCATCTGGTGCTTGTCAGCACAGTACTGAGTGCTGGATCCCCACTCCTGATGGCTATAATTAATCCGAGTTGGTCGTGGTGGTATTGCGCGTTCTGGGCTATGCTGCTTGGTCCTCTTTCGGCAGATGGTAGGCTTTTTTTCGTCTTGCCCTTTGAGAATCCACTGACAATCCACAAATAGTTATTTTCACGGTTGCGAACCTCATTATTACCGACGCGTTCACTCCTAAGACGCAGGGTCTTGCTGGCGCCGTATTTAACACGATCGCGCAGTTTGGAACATCTATTGGATTAACCATCTTTGCCATCATCTCCGCGGGTGTCACTCAGAGTTCCGCGTATTCAAACAAAGGTTCTGCGGAAGCACTGATGACCGGCTATAGAGCTGTGTTCTGGACCTGTTTCGGGTTGATGGTGGCGGCATGTGGTGTTGGAGCCTGGGGATTGCGCAAGGTTGGAAAGGTTGGGTTGAAGAGGGAGTAATATAATGAAGGACAAGTATGTACAGAGGGTGCGCTAGAATAGATAAGTTCGGAGATAGCGAAGTTCAAGTCAATATCATTAGTGCGCGACCCTTGCCTGATGCGATACTACGATGTGTGGATGGTATGTAGTGTGCCCAAATACATCAAATGTAGGGAACTTGCGATCATGGAAAAAAGAAAAGATGATTTAAACACCTGCACATGCTTCCGGATCGACTTTCCTGATGCAACTCATCAAGCTTCTATTTTCGTAAACATTAGAGAATAAGTATGTTGTGCGTATCGCCTCATGATAAAATGTCAAAACTTTTGAATCGCCAAAATGATGATAACATATCGAAGCAAAGACCTGTTGCCGTGTTCCAAATAAGACGGACAGGCCAACAATGAGTTCTGGAGGTATAAGTGAGAAACGAAAACTGCTATCGAATTAACAAATGATCGATGCCTTGTCTGCGTGGCTCCGGGCAGTATCAATCCTCGTCATCGAACCACCGGTATTGCACGATGGGACAGATTTAAGCTCGTTAGAGCCACTAGCAAGACGCTCCTCTCTTTCCAACTCTAGTCGTTCGACCTCCTTAAGGCGCTTGAGTTCCTGGCAGAACTTGCTATTAGCTCTAATCCGGTCACCATATCGGATAAAGGCAAAGGGGATAATGGAGACAACCAGACTGAGGAATGCAATAAGACTGCAAGCCCAGGCCACGCCGAGACGGTCGAACATTGGCTTGGCAGCCAGAGGAATCACGGCTCCCAGAATACTTCGCGTGCAGCTTGCAGCAGATTGTGCGCTAGCGGAAAGGGTTTCGTAGGCGTCCGTAAGATAGTTGAGCATTGCCATGAAAATGAGGAGATATCCCATTCCGAAGGGGATTCCGGAGAGGAAGGGTACAACCCAGTGGATGTTTGGTGAGGATGTCCATCCTACCCAGAACAGAGAGATTACATAAAGAGGTCCTCCGATGCAGGCGAGGGGAAGTCTTCGGTATTCTTCGATGAAGGCCCATTCGGCGTTGCGGGCTTTGGCTCGCGCTAGATAGCCATCGTACCATAGAAAAACTCCGCATGCAAGGATGGCGCCGATGCCGACTATTACAAGTAGGTCAATAATCATTTCCTGGTTTGGGGTAAATTGTAAAAACTTACTTGGCAGAAACATTAGACCAGAGACACCAGGGCTCATTTTGTAAATGCCTGCGAGAGAAAGTTAGGACTCGTCGCCAAAACGTAACTTCAAATAGTACTCGGCATAGATCACCGACCTTGGAAAATGATAGGGTAAGCCTCGAAATAGAGGTAGAAAATCGCGTATGCAAGCGCGAGATACAAGGAACTCAGAGAAACGATATACTCGTGCATAATCATACGGAAAGGTCGTGATATCGTGATGAGGAACATTTCTTGTAGGTTGTGGCTTTCCACGTCCAACGGCGAGACAATGCTCGAGTTGCCAGTATCTTTGCGTAGTTTGTGCGCACGACGCTTCAGGATCACCGGTCCATAGGTTTCTGGCATGAAGATGACCAATGGGAGAGTCGCCCCCGAGCAAATTAGTCCGATCCAGAAACACCATCGCCAGCTAACGACAGCAACAAAACCCGATACCCAGGGTCCGATGATGGGTCCAAAGGTTGTGCACTATACAGAAGTTAGCTTTCAATCTCAGACAAACTATGCGTAGTCAGGATGTGAAAGAACTTACGGCCATAAAATAAGCCATCAATCGACCTCGAAGCGTGGGATCATCATGGACGTCCGCAAACAATCCACCGACAGTGGCAATAGGCGCCGAGGCTACCATACCGTTGAGTAACCGGAATATGAGCAACGAGGTATATGAATCTGCAACCGCACATGCCAGCGTGAAGATCATGAAGCCACAATAAGCTATAAGCAAAGGTGGCTTCCGCCCGAAGTACTCAGAGCTGGGACCCCACAGTAAAGGTCCCAAAATGTAACCGATGAGAAAGATAGAAATTGGCAACACTAGAGCTGCTTGGTTGGTGATATTAAATTCCTCGGCGATCTGTGGGATGGCGTTGCTACAGATCGATGAGCCGATCGTGCTGTTCATGACCTGCATGACACCAGACGCGAGGACCAAGAACTTTCTTCTCTGTTGGGAATATTAGAAACCCGTTAAAGTTCTGATGAAACACTTGATAAACATACTCTTCCCCAATTCACGGGATTTTCTGGGTCATTCTGTCCGAAAGAAACAATTGTTTTGGAAGCCACACGACGAAACCGAGAGTACGAAGGGTTTTCATATCGTTCCTGAATAGGCTCATGATTGACTTCTGAATGTTGGTCCTCAGATTCGCGTGAACTGTGCTGTGACTCATTGGATGGCACCTCTACGTCCTCTATGCACCACTTCAGTACTTTGACCCCTATAATACAAAGGAGGGACTGACCTGTCGTTGACATGGCCTCTTGCATGTTCTCTTCGGCGGTAAAGTGGTCCGGCATTGTGGTGACCTTAGCTCGCCCATCAGGTTGGTGATGTGTAGGCTAAACGAAGATCCAGGCGGGACACAAGAATTATAAAGGCTCAAAGTCGAAAAAAACCTACCCCCACAGGGACCCAGTTCATGCTTGAGTCAGACAAATTAGAATGGCCTTCATGTGGATTCGGTATCCACATCCGTCAGGCAGGTTCTGCCTCGACGCCCTAGGTTTGACAAATGGAGTCTGCGTGCGAAACTGTTCTGGTTAATACAATGAGAAAGGGTCTAGCTTCCCCAGTCTAATTGGGTATCTGGTGGTGCTGATCAGCCAAGTAAGAGATCTGGCTCGGTTAGGACGGCTTCTTCCCCGACTTTTGGGCGCAAAACAGAAGCCAAGATTTCGTGGATTTCCCAAGTGGCAACTTGGGATGCTACTATATGCATTACCACATGACAACTCGCACAATACACCAACAGGCATGGCCTAGATAGGTCATCATGGGTTGTTTGCGATAAAACAAACGCAGACGGCTAGGGTGAAGCCAGCAAAAATTTGACGCAAATTTCTCTTGACCGCATGCATCTGATCACTTGTCCCGAATGCTTCAATTCGTGATGAGGGGTTAGAGCCTGCTGATCAATCGATCGGTCTTAGATCGATAATCGCACTAGGAGTTTCCCTGTCATGTCACTTAGGACTAATGGACAAGACGTAAGCGAGCATCCGTTCCCATGATATAGTAAGCGGGGGACTAGTTGGCCAAATTGAGCCATAACCAACTCTTAACAGGAATCCCCCTGTAGCGGGGGGACGCCAATGCTGGGGAATGATCGGGAACGGGGTGTTCCGCACAGCTTTGGGTGTATCGGCATAGTGTCCGACACGGGTCCACAGCTGGTGAACAACAGCGCTGTTTTTGGAAATTGCCGGGTATATACACACACACACACATATATATATATATATATATCTATACCTATCTCTTGGTTATTGTGGATGCAAGCCTTTGTGCAGCCCGTTTGTTTGTTGGGCTGGAATCGGCAAACCATGCCAAGCCAGAATTCTCCGGCCTCATTCCCGGTTGCGTCCCGACGCGTTCGGACTTCTGGCCGATCTTAATACACTTCTGTGAGAACCTCTTCTACTCCAAAGCATCGATATTGATTAGTGGTCCATAGCATAATAAGTGCTAGGTGCTGGGTTTTTCAAACCTGAACAAGGGGCCAAATGAGAATTCATCAAGTCTACGCACCTACGTGACTTGAGTAGAGAGCAGACCTATTGTCTACCGCTATCGACTCGAAATCATAACAAAATAAAACCACATATAACATCCAGTGTGAAGTCTAGGACAGAGAACCATAACCGGACTTTCGATATTGCCAGTATCCTTACCCAGGAACGAGACTTGTATGAATACATTCGCAACTTGCCTCGCAAGCAACGACAATTAGATATTAATGACAATGATTGTCTATACATGAGATTTAGCTCTGTCTCGCTTGAGCCATCACAGAGCGTATATATTCTCATTGCTGTAATTTGTCGATTATTAGCATTCCGATAATTAGATCAACATGTCGGCAAAAACTCGAAACTCACAAAGGACGATGAAGATGACGTCTCCCTTTCGCTCTCGAGTTGACCCAGACACTTACACTCATAGCAGCGACCGGGAAAATTCCATGCCCGGACCGATCGATCAAGACTGTTTCATCCCGCCACTCCAAGATGTCGGTCCACATCTCGCCAGCATGTTTGAGCCCAATGAACATGCGCTTATATGAAGAGGAGCCATTGCTAAGAATACAAGCAAGGCCAAACGGATGTCTATAGTTGCCATATCTAACAAATCCTGAACGTTTTGTAAGAGATCAAGACCATTGAATGGTAAGAAGAGATACTGACCGATGCAGTTTCGTCTGTTAAAGTAGTCTCGCTGCTCCCCGTGTGCATACAGCTTTCGTGCACGAGTAAGAATTGGAAGCCTTCCGTGACAAGATGAGCCGTACTGGGGCTCGGGTCCACCTTTGATTCCATATAGGTCACCATAAAAGACACAAGGTTGACCCTGCGCACGAAGAAGTATCAATGAATATGCCAGTGGCTTGAAGAATGGTGCAATGATAGTCTGCAAAAGCCATCAGCCGGGTTCTGAATCTTGTCAATGCGAAAGCGCCGCTGATTGAGGACATATTACCTCTAATGATTGGCCAGGTTGCTTGGTAAATGTCAGCTGCGTTCGAATAATCTATGAAATGGTGGTAGCATACTGTATCATGATTCCCGACAAATGTCTGAAAGTTTGGCACAGGTTAGATATAATCAATCTTCACGTCTTGATGGAGTCTTACTACTGCATGTTTCGGGCTCCGTTCCACCAAACTTCCCTTGAAAATCTTCCGCAAATCCCCACCAGCCATCTTTGAAATAGCAGCAAACCGCCCAAGGAGTGGCACGTCGAACAAAGACACCTCGTACTCCATGAATCTGAGGTAACCCAAAAGCAGATCAACTTCTCCCCTCCAGTATTCCCCCATCAAAACATAATTAGTACCGACTGTGTTGCGCAGATGATTGACGAACTCTTTTTGGAAAGATGCGGAGTAGTGTTTAGCTGCGTCTATTCGCATTCCACTTATTGGCAACTCGGTGCCGAGCCACTCCCCCATCTCAGAATATCAGCTCGAACTTCTGGATGGGAGTGATCGAGATTGGCGAACATCAGGTAATCATAGTTACCGTATTCATCGCTCACATCCTTTGCCCAAGTCTTGTTCTGACCTAGTGTTTTATATATCGAATGCTCTTTGTGTTTCTGGTCCCAGTCCACACCGGTGAAATGCTGCCAGTGGTATTTCATCGAACTGTACTTGCAACCGCGGCCGGGAAAACCAAAGCCAACCCAGCCATCAATGATCTCGGGCTGAGAAACCTCCGTATTTCTATCTAGCATGATGTCGGCGTTGGTATAGACACTGGAATCCTTTCTGGGGGACTAGTCATACCTTCTGGGTCAACCTTGACCGCTGCAAAACGTTCGGTTGAGTCGGCTCCAGCTTTCTGGTTCAACACTGTATCCCAATAAATCCCAATGCTCCTTTCCTGCGCAGTGTAGACCAGATCCTCCAAGTCCTCCTTTGGACCCCATCGCGTCGCCCTGTTTCCCTTCTGGTCAAATTCGCCGAGATCGTACAAATCATAAATATCATATCCAGTCCCTGTCGGATCCATCCCCTTACAGCCAGGAGGAATCCAGATGTTGTCAATTCCGATATCCTTGAGGTCTGGTATCGCCTTGCGGAGGCGTTGCCAATGAAGTTGGTCGGCCGGTACATGCCATTCGAATCCCTGCATCATGAGGGTATTCTCGGAAGAAACCCACGGCAGCTCCTTTTCAGACAGGATCACAGAATCTAATTACAATATAAGTTAGCTGAAGCAAGCCAGACAAGGCTGGCTAAAGATTAATGCTAGCCTTCGATCTCGGGCCATTTTCTGGCCTGTCTCCGCATTTTCAAGAAGCAGCTTAGGAATGACAACATGTTGTCAGCGGTGTGTTTGGCGCATGAGGACACTACTGCGAGATTCTAAATAAATGGAAGAAGAGCCTCTTTCTATTGTCCCAAATTTATCAACGTCACTAACATCAGGACTACGCAGAACTGCACAAAGTAACACTGGCACACTACTGTGTAATACATTGTTGTAACCACGGATCTGGTAGGCTATATGTTCATAGGTTAAGTATAAATTCTCCCTGTGAAAGGAAACTAAATTGAAGTCAACCTATTGTCTCATATGAGAGAGTTGGTGCTCATCCCTTTTGATTTTGTCCGAGGGATATATATATTTCTTTTCAGCGCGAGATTACCTGTGCATCGGCAAACAGCCTCCCTTGCAACTGTCCAGTGAAATATATAAAGATAGTCAGTGCGACAAGCCCGTGTCACGTATAAATCATAATGGACGCGTAGATAATTCTCTCGGATGTGTATTTTAGCCACTCTGCATTGAAAATCCTAAGACCTCGGATTGTAGGAACTAGGATGCGACAGTCTCTCTGATTCGCCTTGAATGCCCGTGCAAGCTCAGAGAACCGATAAAGATGGCACTTCTGAGTTTGTGATCGTAAAAAGGGTACAAAAAAGCTATTTATTTCAATGTGAAGAGGTCGGTAGTGGCTGGTGCTATAACGGTGGAATAACAGCATAAGTAATAACAGTTTCATGTACCTCTCCCCCGCCTTCCAATAAGAAAATCTCACTGCCTGATAAATTTCACACTACCGATGATAGCCGTGAGCTACATGCTACCGCTTTGACTTTTCTGGTTCTTTACTGGCTTACGACTCCCTATCAATACTTATCTCCCGGCTGGTCGCACAATTTTTTGGTACTCGAACAGGGGGCAGAATACTCTCCATGTATGGCTCGTACAGGTACCCAACGCCGGATGTGTACCGTGGCTCATTTTACCGATTTTCTAGCATTTGATATGTATCTTCCAGGGCCAGGAGGGCTATGTCACTGGCCTTTCGAAAGGGCTAGGCGATATACAAAAATGAAAGATGTTCTTTTGACAACCAATGAATTTGCTGGAATAACGCCAGGTCTGACTGTAAAGTAAGCAAGGTAATACGGATCTGGTGTTTGGTAGTCGGGGTCCCAATCAGTTCTAGGGCGCACACCAGGCTGTTCAATCGTCTTTTTCGGCGGAGTACTTAAGTACCAGGGCCCCCTGCTAAGACAGGGAAGCCAGCAATAAAATCTGAGAATTTCCATCGAAAACACATCTCTGGCCTACCCCCTCTCAATATGGCAAGGACCGATGCCCCTGAGCACATTTTTAAGTCTAAGCGCCTCCTCTACCGAGCTGTCGAGGACAATGAGGAGGACAAGGCGTTTTTACATAAACAAATCCTCAACGACCATACCATCCAAGCAATGAGCACTGCTAGATTAGCGCGACCAGCACACACGCGATCGAGTGAGGAATTTGTAAGAAAGTTTCATGATGCTGTTCTCGGCGTTATGATATGTCTTCAACCTGAATATCAACACAGAGATAATACGAAAACTTCATCCGATGCTGAGGCGTTTAAATCGACCCCAATCGGTCATCTGAGTCTCTTCAATAAACTTGGTCAGGAGACGAGCCATCACCGCAATTTGACGTTGGGCATATCGCTGGCGCCCGGGTTCCGGGGCAAGGGGTACGGTGGGGAAGCTATCAATTGGGGATTGGATTGGGCATTTCGATATGCCGGGATCCACAGGGTTGAATTATACTCATTTTCGTATAATGAAAATGCCTTGAGGCTTTATAGAAAATTGGGCTTTGTGGAAGAGGGTCGCGAGCGCGAGGCTATTTATCACCTTCGCGTCTGGCATGACGTGGTCCTTTTCTCTATGCTGGAGCATGAATGGGAGAAACTGCGTGAAGTAGGGAAGATATGAGTACTGATAAAATGCTTACAATGACCCTTGGTACATCTACCTTTCCATCGACCTTTCCATCAACGATCTAACTAATCGTCGGAAAAAAGCCTTAGTCTTGTGTATGACTGAAAAGCGATAAACTCACAATCATTCAACTATGAAAGATTTAGGAAGCTATAGCAAAGGTAAAGGCACACAGGGAGCCGTACGTTCCATGATAGGCATGTTTTGTACACCTGGACTCTTTCTACCATACTGCATTATGTGCTTAATTTGCGCAACCTTAAGCATAGTCATAAGCAGCTCTTGTAGCCAAATAGCTAGTTCTCGTGGCGGGACAATTACACGTGGTTTTGGATAACTCTGGTAGAATAAGTGGTGTAAGAAAGGCGCGAGACAAGGGAGATCACTTTCGTAGCCCAATGGTATCGAAAGCGGCAAGGCATTAGAGTATAAGCAGCGAAGGTAATTGTTGATCGCGATATGTGGTACTTATTGTGTCAAGGAGAAGATGGGAATCATACTTAATTTTCCTAAAATCTCTTGGTGAGTCCCTGACCCCAAAAGCACCGTTCCTCGGTGTTGGACATTTCATCAACGGGGATACAGCTCAAATAGAAAAGGAAATGCAAACAAATGCACTGCAAAAGGTCTGAATTATGATAAACCAGAGCTAGGCATGCTCAAGGCAAATATGAAGCATAATGTTCAAAAAGCACGGTTGCTTTTCATAGCACCAGGGAAGTCGTCTTGAAGTGCTTCCCAAATTGGCTTGCCTCCCATTTGAAGATCCTGGAACGCAGGGCAAGTCACATTCAGCAAAGGAACAGCGAGAATGTTGGTGACAAATTCCAGCGGCTCAGCAATGGTCCCATATAGCCCAGAAAGTGCGTTGGGGCTAGCGAATTTCAGCACTTCGAACACAAAGCAAAGCAGATTGTTACCCTCTAGGAGGGTGGCCAAGCTGAGCACACCGCCAGTCAGATCTGCTGGATCAAGCCCAGCAAAGCTGTTCACGGTGCCAGTGTTGCCTCCAACGCTGCATATACTCGTCAGATGTGTGCAAGCATGAAAAATAAAGGGATAAAAGTTACCTTCCAAGCTCTGGGTACTTTACAAGCCAGTCAATTGTATCCAGATTGAGTTGGATAAGGCCATAGTCTACGGGAGACTTGTACCAATTCTCAGGGATTCTTTCCCATCCTTCGCGGTATGTCAAATTATGTTCTTCCCCGTAAATGCCGTAGAAGTTCCGGATATGGCTCTTGGCTGAGAAATCATTAGAAAAGTATGTATTTAGAGTTGACATCACCATCAAATTCACGTACTCAATACTCCTTCGGGATTCTCACGCGAGTGGTTCCGGAACAGTCGGCCTGGAAAGATATAACCAGCATTGCGCGCAATAAGGCCAGTAACCGGTCCGTAGTAAAAGTCGGGATTCGTTTGGATGGTTTCTTCAAAGCGGTTCTTTGCACGCTTGGCCATCAGATCCATATCAAATGTACCGTCGGTTGACATGTTATACCAAGACATAAACTTCTCCATGTTAAGTGCGTAGTTGTTTCCTGTCACATAGAGGTCGTCCCGCGTGTTGGAGGAGTCTGCTTCGATAAAGTTGTGTGACCCAATCAGGCCTTGGGGATCACCTACAAAAGGATAAGTCAATCACCGAAAGGGGCTGGGATATGTCATAAATGCATTCGTACCTAGAATGCCACCTAAATTGTTCAAGAGGTTGTTGACGCCTGTATCGCGGCCACCGATGGAGAAGCTCGGATCTAAGGACAGCGGATCTCCTGTCCAGACGGTGCCCATGATTGCAAGGACAGTAGCTAGATCGACACCCATGCCGTAAACCTCATTGATCGCTGAAATGACTTTCGCAAACTTTCTCTCAGTCAGCCTGTGCCTGATGGAAGTCAAGTAGCCAATGACTTACTGGCACCACACCGTTTCGTGGGATATAGCCATGGTTGGCAAGCGCGTTGAGACCTGGACAAGGACCGCGCTGGTCACCATTCTCAAAGTTCGGTGGTTGGAAGGCATGTTCCCCAGTGACTATGTTTTCGTTACTACCAATTGATGACTGACGGTGGGTCTGCCATACCAACAACAGGTGAATCCATCAAATCAAAAAGAAACCGCTTGTCATGTTCTGGCCTTGCCTGTTCCTGGCTTGGGGCATATGGGCATCGTTTGTGTGATCCTCGGTGGGCCAAATTACCACCATGGGTATCTGCTCCCGGGAATCCTGCCACAAGGCTCAGAAGTGAGAACGACCAGAGCAACTGCCCTTGAGTGAAGACGCGCATGACAGCTGAAACGAACTGATCCCAGATTTGAACGAGCGATATCACCAAACTACTGGGGAAATAAAACGATCAACCATGGAAGAAGTAGATTATTCTGGAACTGTGGCATGCGTCAAATAGATATGCACTTCCATGCGCTTGTGCCTCGGTAGAGTTCCATTGTAGCCAGGCTGATTCATCAATGGCCCCTGAATGGCGCGTATCAGCGTACATGTATGAAGCCATTACGCAGACATTACCAAGCAGAGTCGTGTGAAATACCAGCCGGTCAATTAGATAGTCTATTATGGGGATAAACTCCGTAAATTGGCCCCCACTCAACACTTAATCAGCGGAGGAACGAAGTATGGATTATCACCGAACCCGGGGGTCCTTCCCTTCGAAATGTATTCTTAACTCTTTCCCTTCTTCGTGCATCACGGAGAGGATTTCCATTAATATTACCGCTGCCTGTCATCTAATCCCATCCTTGTAGACCGGTGATTCCTTTCTCTAGAAGCTGCTACCCCTCGTGGAGTCTAAATCCGGAAATGGGAGCTGGGAATTCGATCGGCGGCTGTCGTTGGTTGGCGGGACTACTCTCAGGTCCCTTCAAACGTTCCGCTCGATATACCATTTTGGCACAATCAAAAAGGACTGCAACGAATAACATCACGGGGAAAGTCAAAAATATTCGATAGAGGCGCACATGTCCTCGTTAAACAAACACGCTACATCCAAGGCCATGCCGCAGCTGGCAAGTGAATATTTACTTGACGTTGATCAGGTCAGTTTGGGGAAATCGCAGGCCTCTCCTTAGTGGCCTACTGACTAGCATGTTTTTAACAGTGTCGATCGGGTCCGGTAGTCGAGTTGGCAGGATTCGGGGGCCCACTCGGTCGCTTCCGGCTGGCTTGTTCCCCTTAGCTCAAACTGACGAGGATCAATTAGGAAACTGCGGCGTAAAGCCAAGATCTTGTCTGGTTGGAAACGCTCAGTCTTTAGTGGGGTCATGTGTCAAAATACCGCAGATCAGCGGCTCGTTAAATATCCCGCTGGTGGAGCCATGTCAGCTCGGCTCCTGACTCGGTCTGGCCCGTTAAGCCCTAAAACGTTCAGTAAGTGACTACGACTGGAGAAGTGTTCGTATAGCACGCAGATCATAATTTACCCCAAACCCACTGTGCCAGAGGATAGTTTAATCGCTCTTAGTGGCTATAAGCCAAACCATACAGGGGCATATCCGCAAAATCATAAGCTCATGGAGGTCTAAACAACTTCGTTTTGCCGCAACAGTTAAACGATCGACAGGGATAGAATATTGGGGTAGCTCATCACCGCCAGAGACTGATCTAGTTCTCGCCAAGTTGGGTGTTTAATCTCCCTGCGAGAATAAACGTGTCTTTAGTGTAGATTCTAAAAGTCCGACCAGACTGGTGCGTCTGGTTATCTCATCCCAAATAAGGGGTTGCTGTCTTCAAGAAGGTCGGTTCTGCTGGCTCTAGAAATTGCTGGTCACAATCAGACCAATTCTCATCTGCCAGCGTCTCGAGCAGAATGCGTTTCTTCGTTGTAGCGTTCAGTGTCGTTGCGCTTTTCGCCATTTCTGTGACAGCGGGAGAGGAACAACTGCAACAGCTGGCAGCTGCTCTACCCTCTTGTGCGGTAAGTAGTGGAATATTCCCCGTTGCCTTGAATATTAGCTTGACGAAAACTGACATTGACAAGCTCGAGTGTATGCAAATTTCACTGCCGCAATCCTCCTGCGCAATTACTGATCAGAAGTGCCAATGTACGGATGTCACCTATACTGCGACCCTTGAGCGATGCGTCGCCACCACTTGCACGATCCGTCAATCACTGAGTAGGTAAAACATTCAATCACAAGGAGTGACCTTTGCTAACAGATAAGCTACCAAAAATGTCACGAGCTCGGCTTGTGGAGCTCCGCTTCGAGATCGAAGTAAGCTTGTTTCATATTTTGGACTCGGTGGTGGCATTCTAGCACTCATTGCTTTTATCCTTCGGATGGTGGCACGGCTCAGGTGCTGTGGTGGTACTTTTGGCATGGATGACTGGACGATGATGTTGACGATGGTGAGCACCATTTGCTCTTATTCAGGGATGAAGTATCTTGCCACTGACGATTCAGTGTCTTGTTGTTCCAATATCCGCACTTTCGGTCGTTTGTATGATTCCCTTGACTGCTGGCTTTGATTTCCTGCATTTCACTGACCTTTACTAGTGGCCGACGCGGGTTTAGGAAGAGATATGTGGACACTCCCTTTCGAAAACATCACGAGAATCCTTTATGTTAGTGCACAAACCTTATGCTCTCGGCTATACAGATTTATCTGACCCAAGCAGATTTACTTCTGGGATGAATTGATCTATCTGTCAATTCTGCCATTAACCAAAATCTCCATCTGCTGCTTCTACCTTCGCATCTTTCCCGACCGGCGCCTCCGGATAGCAACATATATTGCCATCGCATTAAACTTGAGTTACTTGATTGCCTTTGTCTTAATTTCGGTGTTTCAATGTCGGCCACTACCTGGCGCATGGCTCCATTGGGACGGAGAGGGCAATTTTAAATGCAACCATATCAATGCACAGGGATGGGCAGCGGCAATCATCAACATGGTGCTTGATATATTGGTCATGGTTCTGCCATTACGGCAGCTTTACAAGCTAAATCTTTCCGTCAGGAAGAAGGTATACGTGATGTGCATGTTTAGTCTGGGTATCTTGTATGTTTTCATGAATACCTAATATTCGTGAGAGATGTGACTGATTTGGGACTTAGTGTGACTCTTGTGAGCATCCTGCGCCTAAACTCACTCATTCATTTTGCCAGCACCACAAACTTGACATGTAAGTAATCGCCAGACTCGTAAGTTTCATGGCCGCAAACATACTGACGAATGCAAGGGGACTACGTGAGCGTTGGCTACTGGTCTACCATTGAAGTTGACGTGGGTATTATCTGTTCATGTCTCCCTGCTATTCGTTCTTTACTCCGCCGAGTCTCACCTGGATTATTTGGCGACACGGAAAACACTAAATCGTATGGGATGAACTCTCGCTCTCATGGAACTGGGTCTCGATTTGAAGGAGCACTTCACGTCCAAAGCAAGAGTGGTGACCGGCATTTCTACCCCCTTGATGATATGGACACTTCGAGTGATAGCCGGCTACACCATTAGCAAGTTGAGTAGCAAAGCCAGTCGCTCAATTTGTGAATTACACAAGACGGTTTCTCGCAGGAGCCCCTATATCTAGCTTTTAATCCTATATATCCAGGTGTCTTTGTACGCGAAACATACTTTGTTTAATTTCACCAAATAAGATTTATACCCACGGGTTGACTGTCAAGCTGGTTGGTACACATTGCCATAATTTCAATTTGCATTTTTGGTGAAACCTCAAGCGGATTGCTAGCGAGGTAGTGGGCCTCCTAAACAGGAAGCTGGTACCTACTCTCCTGCACAATGTCACTAATTCACGGGTACAGTTGGTAAATTTTCGGCAATAATCAGGGGTTGTTGGGATTCAAGTGCCCCTGACCCCCATTTGCCTAGTCGCAAAGTGGACCGGCAATGCTTCTAGATTATCAAGAGCAGAAATAAGATTCTTGACTTGTCTCAGTAGGTTTGTGGCGTAATGCCGTTATGGGTCCCAATTTCAGCATACGGAAAACGATCCCGGGGTGCTGGGCGCGTTTACTTTTGGTGCACTGTGGACCCTCCTCCCCACATTAATAAATTGCAGGCCTAAATAAACGAAGCCTCGTCGTGCGAAAAGAGGATTAGCCTCACCGTTACACTGTTTACCTGTAATGTTATATGATCGGCATGTCAGACGGCATAGGGTAGGCACTAGTCCGTCAGCACGAGGGTCCCGAGACGCAATAAAGAATTACTGATTGGCCGGCGATTGCTAGGGCAGGACTAGCAGTGTTTTTGTATCTTTTTCTTTGGGATACTAACAAGATACCAGCCGGGTCAATACGAGACAGACCATCCACCTGTATGGAGCTGCTGGACTAGTTTACGAGTCAGACGAAATTGGTGCCATGCTAGGGGATACGACCCGCTGTACAAAACAGACCAGCTTTGAAATAGGATGGTAATGTCGATCATACTACAAGCAGAATGAGGACATGGTAGTAACGTGGTCACGGATGGTACTGTAGAAGACCCCAGGGGTCAAGGTGTATCAGCTTATAATAGATGGCGATGGAAGATATATGCTGCTTTGGAAGTTCATGTTCTGTCTTTACCTAGTTTGACCTCTGTTGTGTTTTCACTCTTGTTCCTGCTTTTCACTTTGAGGTCTTGGTCTTCCCTCGAGCATTTACCATGCGTCTCTCGGCAGTGGCTGCGTTATTATCCACTCTTTCAGTTGTGCTAGCTTCGTATGTGCCAGAACTTCCTGGAAGTTCCTTCCGGTACAAGCCTGAATCTGATATCGCAAGAACTGACAGATGTTACAGAGGCCACAGCTCAAATCCGCAGCATCATGATACATATAAGAGATCACCAGTTGGCGGTAAAACAGCGCGAGACAACGCCACGTCCTCGGAATATGACTATGTTGTTGTTGGGTCCGGCCCTGGAGGAGGCCCTCTAGCAGCGCGACTGGCAATTGCCGGATACAAGGTACTTCTTCTGGACGCAGGTGATGACCAGGGAAATGCCACACAACAAATTGTCCCTGCCTTGCAGCTTCAGTCCACTGAGTATGATCCCATGAGATGGGACTATTTTGTGAACCACTACTCGAATATCTCACGCCAGGAAGAAGATACAAAGATGACATACCGGACTCCTGCAGGGGACCTCCACGTTGGACGCGATGCACCTGATGGCTCAGAGCCTCTGGGCATATTGTATCCAAGAGCTGGGACCTTAGGAGGGTGCTCTGCCCACAATGCCATGATGTGAGTCTTCAATCTTTCTATGCGGGCCTGAGGCTGGGCGATCTGTATGCTAACAGTCATTTTGTCAGCACCATCTACCCGTACGAGAATGACTGGGAGCAATTGGCCGCTCTCACGGGGAATGACTCGTGGTCTGCGTCAAACATGCGAAAATACTTTGAAAGATTGGAGCGCAACCGATATATACCAAGTGGCCTGGTGGGCCATGGATTTGAAGGATGGCTCACAACAAGTTTGACCGACTTGCGTCTCGTGATTGAAGACCAAAAACTCCTTTCCTTGATCCTTGCTGGCGCGACAGCTGCAGGTCAGAGTCTGCTGGGTAAATTGGTCAACACTGTGACGGGCCTCGCGGGAGTCCTTCTACGCGATCTTAACAACGCCTCCCCCACGCGCGATTATGAGACCGGCCCATACCAAGTGCCTCTGGCTGTGGACGTTCCCGAGTACAAACGTACAGGCCCTCGAGAGTTCCTCATGAAGACTGTAAATGCCGTCCACTCTGACGGCTCACGGAAATACCATCTTGACATCCAGCTCAACACGCTTGTGACCAAAGTAAGGTTTGATACCACTGGAGCTAAGCCGCGGGCTCTTGGTGTGGACTATCTTCGGGGCCAGAGCCTATATCGTGCGGATCCCCGGGCCTCCCGCACGGCCTCTAACGGTATACCGGGTAGTGTGAACGCCGCGCGTGAGGTGATTCTGTCCGCAGGATCATTCAACACCCCTCAGTTGTTGAAGCTCAGCGGAATTGGTCCACAGGAGGAGTTGTCCGAGCTGGGTATCTCCACGCTGGTGAACTCGCCTGGCGTCGGCTCCAACCTTCAGGACCGGTATGAGATCGGTACAGTTGGGAAATCCCCTACCGATTTCGTTCTCACCTCCAAATGCACCTTCATGTATACCATGCCCGACCCCTGTCTGGAACAGTATGAGAACGATCCTTTGTTTAAGGGCACGTATACCACCAACGGAATTGCCATTGCAATCATTCGCAAGTCATCCGTGGCGGACGACGAACCGGACCTATTGATCTCGGGAGCCCCCGTCAACTTCCCCGGCTATTATCCGAACTATTCATATGAAGGTCTCAAGGATGCTCAACATTGGACTTGGATCACATTGAAGGCACGCAGTCGCAACAACGCAGGTACAGTGAAGCTGCGCTCCATTGACCCCCGCGACGTACCCGATATCACCTTTAACTCGTTTGATACCGGAGTAACAGAAAATGATGCGGATGAGAAGGATCTTCAGTCTGTGTACGAGGCGGTGGAGTTTTCTCGAACGATATTCGACGATCTTATCCCGCTCGACGGGGGATTCGACGAGGTCTGGCCGGGGCCTAACGTCACTACCGAGAGTGAGGTCAAAGACTTTATCAAGCAAGAGGCCTGGGGCCATCATGCCTGCTGTACTGCTGCTATTGGAGAGGATGGTGACGGGAAAGCCGTACTGGACTCTGACTTTCGGGTACGGGGGGTAAATGGGTTACGCGTTGTAGATGCCTCGGTGTTCCCAAAGATTCCCGGGTACTATGTCGCGCTGCCAATCTACATGATAAGTGAGAAGGCCGCCGAAGTTATTATTGCTGATGCCGCTTGATTGTGCTTGTGATAGTTTACCTACTGTCATGGATGGCAGATTATTGTAATTATTATTTTGTATCTTTTCTATTCAACTCAGATATAGTGGGATTAGAGAGTCATTAAAGGTTGATGAAATCGGCCAATCTTGCAATGATTCAGCTTCTTATGATATAGTAAGCTTTATACCGTTACAGGGGCAATTCTAGATGGCAGCAGAGATACGATGTGAAGTAACTTGATGTGTTAGCTTCCTGATAATTGATGATTTTAGTAATAAATAAGTAGACATATTGATTATAATAGCACAGATCCTTGAACATTCGGCAAACAGTAAACAATATAACAATTATAACAATATCCTCGTGAGACACATCCGTTAGGCTGGACGTCTCTGATTCTGAATTGACGGGGAAGATGACAGATCTCCATGTCAGTGTGCAGTGGAGAGAGTTCGATCACCTTTCACAGGTGATCGAGATATCGTTACTCATGAATGTCGATTTCCTTCAGCAAGGCTTCGCAGGCCAGAAACTGGCGGTCTCGGGTCCACTTGCGACTGAACACCTTGCCACAAATTGGGCAGATCTTGTTGTTCGGGTCCCCAGGGACAGCTCTCCCTTCGTAGCAGATTTGTTCATGAGCCTCCATGAGGGCATTGCAGTCGGACTCTTCGCCACAGTGCATGCCCTTTTGATGTGTTTCCTTACGGAGTACACTGTTGAATACTATGCCACAGTGACCATAGGTCCGATCCGCTGCTGGTTGATACTGTTTCATGAGGCGAAGACCATCCTGGCAGTGCTTTGTGTGTCGTTTGCAGCCCCACGGGCGCGGGAATACTTTGCCGCAACGAGAACAGGTGAGGTGCTCGATGGAATCGGCACGCGCTTCCTGACCCCAACACACTGACCATGCGCTTCACGAAGAGCCTTGAACTTGAAGATTCGGTGACACTCGTCGCAAGTCTTATTCTTCATCATTATGAGTGCTGGAAAGATCATGGGTAAGTGCGTGACCCAAAATCTCCACTAGGGCAGGTGTCCAGGCAAGCAGTCCAAAACCCATAGCGACCGTCGGGTCAGTACGTGCTCATACTGATATACGCACACGTACGGACTCTTCGATCACAATCACGACCGACATCTATCACCCTCCGTTGGATCCCCGCTCACGTCGGGGTGCCTGGCAATAAAGCTGCCGATGGCAATGCGAAATGCGCGGCCCTGAGCTCGAGATGGTGAACGTCAACAAATCCAACCAGAACCGTGCGGCCGAAGATGAGTCTCCTGCTGATATGGACTGGGATCCATACTCGAACTCTCCTAAGCCGGAAAATGAATAAACATACGCTATGTTGCAAAGACTTTTGTGTTGACAGGGAAATGACATCTGCCGCGAAGTGTGTCTTGAAACTAGGATAGGAAATTACTTCGTGCAGTTCAACAGCTCAAGGTGAATTGCACAGTCAAATTGAACAGTATGGCAACCGTTCATATATCAGTGAATTCTAAGTTAGCCGTCATAAACAATATTTTTACCAATATCTAATTCCATAGTGTAAAGACGTAGGCACATGCACAAGTCAAGAAATAGACCGAATATGAAGTGCATCTCCTGCATACTTCAGGGGCGAGGTTGTGTAGCAATCACTGCGGCCATCCGATCGATCGGCTTTTGCCCGATGATGATCCCGAACTGTGTGAAATTCAGAAAGCGTCGAAGCCATCGATTCCACCTATTCAACAGGAACTCAAGGCCAACAACAGGGCTATTGAGACTGCGGAGAAATTCGGTGTTCAAAGTTACATCTTCGTGCCGTGCATCGTTCACAGTCAGGAGGAGGCATCCGGCAATCCCATTTCGATCCAGAGGTCGCGATTGTGCAAGTAGCCAAAAAGCTTGGAAATTTGTATAAACCGGATGAGGAATTCTTGGTAAGACCTATCACCTTTTCACGAGTTATTTGTTTAGATTGTCGCTGATACACTTTCAGACTTGGCCCGTCACTCATGTTATCGAGATTACAATGCTCTATCAGGATGATCACACAAAATATCCTCTACGGAGAAGATGTACTGCACGGGAAGAATGGGTGCTTTCTCGTCTCCAGTGGCGGCGTTCCTTGGTATGACATCTACTGCGCCATGGTTAAAGCACTTGGCAAGCGCCAAGGCATTGGCAGTCATGCAGTGGAGCTGGCAGATAAGAAAACTCTAGAACAGATAGGAAATGCACGGGGCTGCCCAAGTCATCTGGTTCCGCTGTTCTTGGGTGGTCAGTGTACCTGCAGTCCAAGAATGGGCTTCACATCGGCTGGAAACCGCAGTATTGAGCGGAGCCCATCTTGGAGGCCGCTGATGCGGAAGTGGAGCTCGTTCTTCACAATCCGGGGAGATTATATTCAACAGTGCTCGTGAAATATGAAGGACATCTATTGACGGTATCTATGTGCGGGACTATATTCAAAGTATTGTTCGGAATCAAGCAAGTTGAGAAATTGGAACCTTCGACCACCAGAATTTAGTTTCATCCCTTGCCCAATCGTCTGCAACACATTTAGCAGGAGGAGCAGTATCCCCGCCAATCAATTCCTCGTTGCCCTCTCCAAAGATCATAACCTTGTTATCCTCGGGCTTGAAGGGCTTCCACTCCGGTCTCTCGCCATACCGACCGGGGACAGCATTAGGATCACCCTTGGTAATAAAGCTGGTCAGATAAGCATGAAGAGCACCCGATAACTCCCTCTGTGATTTAGAAATCCCCGTAATGCTGGTGTTGTATGTCTCATAATACATGTTATCTCCGTGATTGGCACGACCAACAACTGTTCGCGGAAGTGCCCAATGGTAAAGATACACAGGGGCCCCCTGTGATGACGCAAACTCCGCAGTTTGGCGAACTGGCGCAACGTAGGCATAGTGACCATATGCAGCCTCGATACGTTTGTATTGGGCACCGAGACCCTCACCCTCCCTGGTTTCAAGATATGGCGAGGATGAATCCACCGAGGGGTCGGGGTAAAGCTTTTCAATAGTATCCAGATCCGAAGATGAAAGCTCTGGGAGTAAGTTCTCCCAGAACTGGCGGAATTGAGAAGTCTTGGACATTTGCTTGTCGACGTACATGGTACCTTCGTTTCCGTTGAAGCCGGTCATTATGGGTACTTTATTCCAAGCCTTGGAATTCCATGCATCCAGGGGCTTGCGGGCAATTGTGTCCCCATCAATTACGGGCTGGAATGCCCATCGCAGCGAGGGGTTGTATTTGTCAAAGACAGCTGTTTGGGCGTTGGTCACGGTTAAGCTTGGCAACGACCGGAGGAAAGGGAAGATCTCAGATTCAGGTAGATCTGCAGGACATCCGACTTCCTGAAGGAAATCTTGGAATTGTTCTTCGTGGACTTTCGCATTGTATGGGCGAACGGCGCGAGAAGTGGGGGCGCCCGATTCGATGATAACACGGTGGAACAAGGGGGAGGCGTTGTGATTGAGCAGGAGGTGGCCGATCTACACTCTTCTATTAGAACAGTAGACTCGAAGATGCGGTTGGAAATTGCGATACTTACAGAGTGTGCCCCTGCCGAGAGACCAAATAGAGTCACTCTCCCAGCATCACCGCCAAAGTGGCCAATGTTCTCCTGAACCCACTCCAACAGATGAATTTGATCACGCAATCCTAGGTTCAGCAATCCTTCCTTCTCGGAGAGACTCGATGGCAAAAATCCAAGCGCTCCAATGCGATAGCCAAAACTCACAGCCACAAACGGTTCTTCGGACCATGCCACCATAGACGCGGTGTCATGCATCGCCGCCGCTCCACGGTTAAAGGCACCGCCATGGATATAGACTGCGACTGGAAGCTTCTGCCCATCTCCAGCACTGGCAGGCCGGAAAACGTTCGCGGTCAAACAGTCCTCACTCTGCTCCAGTTTCGGTCCGCCCGATAGCAATGCTTTCCCTGGGGCCGCGGGGCCGTACTTGGATGCATCGATAGTGTCTGATGAGCTCGCAACTTTGACTGCAGGTCTAAATCGCCGATCTCCAACAGGAGGCAACGCGTATGGCACTCCCAAGAAGGCGTCCACTGTTTGTGGGAAATTGTCCTTGAGTTGCGTGCCAACTACCTGGCCTTGGGCCAGAGTCACCGAGGGGGGCTTGCTATCGACTGTCATTGTGTATCTTGGTCAGTTCAAAGCCAAGAAAGACGGCAAGATGGGGTTCGGAGGTCTGATATAGCACCGTTGGGCTCGCTATCTATCCGGGCCTCAGAAGTAGAGCCGTGCGGGGGAAGTAAACCAAGTGGAGACACGGGATGTTTATCTCAGAGATAGTTAGGCTTGCTTGATATGATTCCGAGACTCTCTTATCACGTTCGGCCAAAGTCCGAATGGCATGCCCAGCAATGCTCCGCACCATATTCCCCGTTTCTAGAAAGTATAGATAACGCAAAACGGTCATGCATAAAAGGCATTGGGGGAATTTGGTTCTCGTATACGAACCCTTCTGACTTCTACTCCTTCAACCATCTGAACACTTTCATTGATCAATCTACTAGCTTGATGTCATGGAGGTAACCAAGAAAGAACCCGTGGTAGACTCTGTCGGCGAGAAAGACGTCCAAGTCGGCATTATCACAGACCTTGACGAGGGTGAGGTCTTCCTGCGTCAACATGGATTCACCAATGAAGACGTTCAAGGCCTATTGGACGATGAAGCACGCAACAAGGCCGTGGTCCGCAGAGTAGATCTTATTCTGCTCCCCTTGCTTGCAGGAACCTACATGCTTCAATACATCGACAAATCCGCACTGGCTTACTCTGCGGTGTTTGACCTCCTCAAGTCGACACACATGTCAAGCAACGAATACAGTTGGCTAGCCAGTATCTTCTATTTTGCCTACCTTGTCGCCGAATACCCTTGGAATATCTTAGCGCAGAAGACCAACCTCGCTAAGGTCGTCTCCTGCAATATTGTCGCCTGGGGCGCTATGCTCATGATTACTGCCGCCTGTTCCTCCTTTACCGGGATGGCTATCTGCCGCTTTCTTCTTGGTGTTTTCGAAGCTCCAATAACGCCTTGCTTTATGATGATTATTGGCATGTGGTATACACGCTCCCAACAACCGTTTCGCGCTGGTGTCTTCTACAGTTGTAACGGAGTTGGTGCTATGGTCGGTGGAGTCCTCACGTTTGGTATTGGTCAAATCGAAACGATTGCCGTTTGGAGAGCTATATACCTCATTCTTGGAGGCATCACTGTTTGCTGGGGTATCGTTATGCTCTTCTTTCTCCCCGGTGACGTCCTCTCCGCAAAGCGCTTTAGTCTAGAAGACAAGGCTCTGCTCATCGGTCGTGGACGTCTTGGCCGCACTGGTATTATCAACCACCAAATCAAGTGGAACCAGATCCGCGAGGCCCTGGTCGATCCCCAGGTCTGGATATTGTTCTTTTTCACTCTATTTAATGAGGTCGTCAACGGTGGAATCGCCAACTTCAGCAAGCTGATCATCAAGGGCCTAACCCACGACTCACTTACTACTGTCGCTCTGGGTATTCCTTTTGGTGCTTTCCAAGTGGTCTGGGTCCTCTCAGGAACATACTTTGCATCTCGCTTTGCCAATTACCGTACCATCGTCATGTTCGCGTACCTCATCCCGACAATCATTGGTATCTCTCTGATGTGGAAGCTGGATCATGCCACACACAAGGTCGGCGTGCTATTCAGTTATTACATCGTCGGTGCCTACGTCTGCTCCCTAGTCCTGGCGCTGCAGATGCCCGCCACAAATCTGGGTGGGTATACGAAGCGCTCCACCGGTGTTGCTTTCGTATTCCTGGCCTATTGTGCTGGTAATATCATAGGACCACACGCGTTCCTCGCGAAAGAAGCACCCATCTATCAGACCGGATG